AGTGGGAAAGTTCCATCGAATAGTTTTCATAAGCTATATAAATAGGTTTATAACAATTTGGTGTAATCCAGAAATATCCTAAGAGAAACTCATTAATCTAACAGTGAATTGATCATTTTCTGAATCCTTCTTATTAGTCACATATAGATTTTTCAGAGAAATCTGGATAGTATATAATACCTTTCTTATCGAATTCCCTGAAAGATAAAATATATGATGCTTTGACATAACAAAATGGTGACGTCCCAGGTAAAAAAAAACAAAAATAGTAATAGATTTAAATAAAACCATTATATCAGCTCACGTACTATTCAGTGGATTACCATTAGAATGATGTCATCTTCGTTTTGCATAAACAGAATATTGAAAGAATGACTGTTTGATTTACATGTTTCGTATTACATTGTCATTTGTAAAACAAAATTTTCCATATTTACTACAAATTCCATGAGCACAATATGGGGATATTTCTACGAGAATTTTTGATAAAATGTAAGATCGAAGTCGATTAAGAACGAGAACACCTATATACAATTTTGAATAATTTAGCATTGTACTGTAGTGAAAAAGAAGACAAGCAAAGACAGTCGAATGTAATTCAACACGATTACAGTATCTCTTTGTAAAATCTGATAACTATACAGTAAGTTCTTCACTTGCAAAATGTTAGCCAGTTGTCTCAAACTTCACTGTTCCTTCTGTAAAATGCCAGTCAATCGTCTCAGACTTAAGTTTTTTTTTATCTCCACTCCAATCACTCTCTGTTCTTGTTCTCTTTCCTTCAATCTTCTTAACCTTCTCCTGCCAGACATTTCAAAACACCTGTTCCTTATTGCCTTTTTCTCCTTAGTTTATCAGTGATTTCACTCAAATAATCCTAAATTTGTTTATATCATTTAAAAAAGGCAAATTGATAAAACAACAAACAGAAACCCACATAGATTACATTATAACTTTGGAAAAGGAAATGTAAAGCATTTTCAATTACTAAATCATTAAAATACATGAGTAATTCTTCCTATTCAATACAGATTTGCAAATAAATAAAACATGGAGAATTTATGAAACTATTTGCAATTTGATTTGGAAAACAGTTCAGTAGGATACATGTGTGATTTTTTTCTGAAAAATAATGCTGAAAATTAAGTTCTACATCAATAATATCTGTTTATAGATTGTTAAATTCAACATTAATTAGTTCATAATTTCATGTGGTGTGCTACTGATATCAACAGATATAAGTAGTATATGTCATCAATTGAAAGCGAAATACTTGGTGGCAAATAGTTGAGAAAACTTATAAAAAGCGAACGTGAACAGAGGGTGACTGGTATGGAAACGAAGGAATAACAATGTCTGAGACAATTGATGAATGTTTTGCAAATGAATAAATTACTGTATGGTTCTTAGATTTTACTAAGAGATTCCGGAATGTTGTATTATGATACATTTGGTTATCCCCACCTGTAAGAAATAAACTACCTTTTTCGATTTCTACATTAAATAAGGTATGTTATTTAAGGAAATTAGTTTGCTTCATCGTTAAGTGGTAAACACTTAAAGATAATTATCATAGTTAACAAGCCTTAACCATTTAGCTGACATTATTTGTTTTATAAAAGAACCGGAAATCATTTTTTCGTTCAATGTACTCAAGGAGCTTAACAATGATTTGTCTAAACAGCAAGCGAGTTTTGTAAAACTTTAGGATGAGTGCACTTGATGCTTGTTATTGAGGTAATGAATAGAACTATGCTTGAAATAATCAAACTTTTAGAAAATTTAGTTATAACAGTTTATTAGAAGTATATGATTATAATAGCCGTATACACATCTAGACGATAAAAGAGGTGTTGAAATCACATTTGTATTCTCATAACACTATTTTATGTTGGTAGTTTTATATTCTGTGGGCCTGATGGGTTACTTGCAATATATTCATCCAAGTTCTGGAAACTAAAGTATACCGTTTCCACATGTTAAATCAATGATCCAGTAGTATTTTATCATGTATCCATCATTCTATTTCAGAACTCTCTACTAGTTTATAATTACGACCATACTCACAGTTGAATCGAATATCTTCTAGTTTTATTGTATGTTGAGTTATTTCAACAACGAGCTCCGTTATAACTCGGTAGTCTTCCTGTTTCATTAGAGATGCCTATCCATTTACATGGTTGAAATACATCGAATATGGATCTTCACTAGAATTCCTGCAACGTATTCCAAAGTCTGTCGCTAATGAGCATATGTATATTTTACTTTCCGCTTTCGGAGTTAACTTCCATTCCGAGACAGCTTTCGTCATGGATTTAATTTATCTTCATCTTCTAAATATTCCATACTCATGACTCTATATAAGTATTTGATACAAAAGTGTATACTTCGTGACAGCAATTTGTCAACATGAGTTTAATTGATATTTAATTTAAAGTTTTTCTCTTACCTCCCAAAAATGCCCACACTTTTGTTGTTTGTTTCATTGTGACTTGTATTTCGGAAACTATACGATATTTTCAACTGATTCAAATGGTCTATACGCTGAATCATATATATATACTTACAATGTATATTTACTGTTAACAAGTGATTATTATCCTACTTATTGGTTTCAATTAAACAAACATCCTTCTGCATTGTGTCACAACATCACAGAATAAAGCAAACATTCAGGAAGTATAAGATTCTTTAAAAACAGTTACCAAATAACCATCTTTTTTAGATACGATGAGTATAACGTAGTACCGATATAGTAAATATGTATTATAAAGTTTTTTCACAAAACATGCTAGTACCTCAGACCGTTCATTTAAGCACGTTAAAATAAAAATGGATATTTTGATTGTACTAAAAAATATTTCATTCGACTTGTTGTTTTCTGTGAGTTATATGTATATGGCTTTTTCAATGGGACAGATAACAACTGGAGTACGATTCAGTTGTTGATTTCTGTTTCATTCTGATTAATAAATACTCGATGTGAAGCTCTTAAAGTCTTATACTGTAACGAACCGATAACAAACACGATGTCGATCGACTATTAAATTAAAAGATCGGCAGTTCACTGGTTCCACATTCATTTAGCTTTAAATACAACCAGTTTATCACCAACTGACATCTGTAGTTGAGCACCCTATGATAACCTTGTGGTGTATGCTACTTGTCCTTGCAGATAATAATGGTATGTAGCACCAGTCGTCATTTAAATGTTTGCCATCATAAGAGTGGATTGATGAGAACAGGAAAGGAAACAGAGAGCAATTGGAATAATGACAGAGTTGGCAGAATCGTGAAAGACAATTGAAGGAAGATATGCAAATGATGAATTTAATGTATGATTTTCATATTTTATGTAAGCATTGCATAATTTTACATGAAATAATTGTTTGCTTTTCCTTACCTGATTTTTCGTTTACTTCAACTTTACTACCCAGTATTTAAGTGTATAATCTTTTTGCCTTCACCCTAGTGGTTAATCTGCACTTCAATCATATTACTCTGTAGATGAATTCATCTTCGAACTTATTGTTACGTAACGTTCGGTAACAGTTTTCCTCGAGTAGAAATTTTTTTTTCAAAACTTCTCTCGTGAAATCTTCAAATGAAACTTTTTAAGATAATAAGATATCAAATGTATACGGCAAGTTTTACCATTATTTTCCTATTGCTTAACAAACGTAAGCAATTGAAGAGAATTTGTCAAACAAACAAAAATCAGATTATTCTGTTATTTGGTCGTTTCGTTTAACAATCAATGTGAATTCACTCTTGTATATGTAAACAATTTCTGAATCATCAAAATGAGAATTTATGGAGATTTTAGTAAAAATTTTTTTCGAAATAGTTAAATTCATAAGTCTATGTAAGCTAGATCATCATTAGAAACTTGGCATTACACCGGATAATCACATCCAAGTGAATGTTCATTGGTGAAGAGTTCCATATTAGAGCAAATGAGCCATTCAATACTTTTAGGCTTTCAATAGTGATCTAGCTTAAATCGATTCATAAATGTTTCCAGATTGTTTCCACGCTTTTTTTTTTTCAAAATTTATTTAAATGTATTTTCATCACATTCATTTTCTTAGCAACGAAAATATTTAGTTTAATATTAGCTCAAAATGCATTTCATAATGTATGAAGAAAGCTTTTATTCCCTTAGTAAATATTTATTATTTCATATGTATGTTATATTCAACTTTTTTCTATCAAATATTCTTTAGAGAGAAAAAAAAAGAAAAAAAATACACTATTAACACCAAAAGCAATTTGCCTACATCAAAGGGGGAAAAGGAAAACTATCTAATGAATGTGAAAATTGTGATTTTTGTTTATTACGAGCGTTTCTTTTCTTTTTTTCTTTTTCTTTGCTTCTTATTCCATGAACATATATTTCTAATGATTCTTTTTTTCTTTTTTATTTTAGTAAACCTAAGAAAGAAGGAAAAAATAGGTTTTTGTGATTAATTGGAGCAGTTGGTAACTATACATTTACAAAAGCCTTCATAAATTAAACATATTCATGAGGGTGTAAGTAAATATTAGTAAGGAACATGTATATATATATATATGTATATGCATGTATATTCGAAATTTTCATTGACTCTGTATTATATGAGGTGTGAACGATTGTAGTCATGTAAATAAACAAAATAGTACTACAAGCATATAAACTTAAAGAAAAACTATTACAGATATTCATTTTGTGAATATTTCTTCAAATCACCTAAGCTAATCTTAGTTATTCAACTAGTAGAAATGCCTAACAACAACAGCAACAATAATAATATTCGACTCGACAAGACCATATGTTCAAAATAATCTTTTGTTTTTGTCATATGATTCTTTACTTTTACAGACATAAATATTTTGACAGATTTTTGTAAAAAAGAAAAAAAGTTAACTGTCAAAATTAATTCAGAAAATTCACACCTTTTTTTTCTTTTTCTTTTTCTTTTTCTTCTTCTTCTTCTTCTTCTTCTTCTCTATTCTGTCAAATGGTATATTTTTGAAAATTGAACTACATGTTAAGGAGAAAAAAAGGATTCAGAAGGTAATTTGATGTTTACTTTTGTTTTGACTAGATATAATCCTTTGTAATATTAAGAATTTTATTGGTGTAAGATAATTAGTTTAGGTGATGTGTACGATGAGACTATAATTTATGGAAGATGTTCAAGTAATGTTGAGATGATCTTCAGCATATCCATCTCCTAATTAGAACTAAATGAAAGTTATAAACCAATGTGAGGAATTATAATTATGATTTACAATTGATAATTAATGGTTAGGTATTAGATTTACAGTTTTTTTGATAACAAATTAACATCAATTATAATGCTGAAATAGTATTTAACCAAATGAGTAAATAAATTTTGTACTAAAATCCAAGACCTGTTACCTTAAATTTGATTGATTCATCCATAAATTATAGCCTGTTCATTCATTCGTTTATTCTCTTTAATAAACTTTTCTTAAAACAAGAAGGAAACATTATGAAACGAATTTGAATATATTTTCTTTGAAACTTGAATTGAACATTTTTATCAGGAAGGAAATTCATCGGGATTTTAGTAATTCATCAGTTTTATATTTGAACGAAACGGTCGTTCAGGAGTTTCAGGTTTTCTATGATGGTCTTACTTTAATTAACTGATAAATGTAACTATTGCATAATTTCATTATTCACAACATGTTCAAGTTTAAATTTTAGTGTTTCAAATTAACAAGTAAATGGAATAAGTTTTTATTGTTCTTACATCATAAACTGAATATTAAATTTCATCTTCCATATAAATAGTAAGTACAGGTTAAATCAGTCAAGTTTGGATATATATATATATATATATATATATATATACATCAAATGTAGTTTATCTCCGACAATACAATATGTCCTTTACAATAGATGATTTGCAACTACTAATTGCAATTCAATCTATGAACATGGATCATCAATCTTGTTGTTTATATAAAGCCTACGGAAACTATTAAGCATAGTTCTCTCACTCTCTCTCTCTCTCTCTCTCTCGAAAACCCATATATACATATTTATTTCTTTATAATGATCAGTAATAAAATTTGGCATGATTAAATTGTATATTAATTTGAAAATAGGAAAATAATATAGAAACATGTACACAGGTGCAATTTTTCAATGTATCAATATTTATCACTATGCACTAATTATGGTACATTATTATAAAATAGATAGACTATATTGTATATATATATATATATATACCAATACAATGTAGTTTTACATTTAATAATTCAATATAACCATCTGGTCTACAAACAAGTAAAAGAAGTTTACAATTATACATTAGATGAACAGAAAAAAAACAAAAAAATTTTTTGATTGCCGATAGAATAAGGAAACAAATTATTACTGTTACTATGTGTAATAATAATGATAATAAAGGAAATTAATTGTATTATTGTAATGAACAGCAATAATAATAATAATAATAATAATAATAGAGTTATGTAATTGTAAACAGATTATAAAACATCTGTGGTTAATATAAAACTGTTACATCATAATAGACATTTAATAACTTTGATGTTATAATTAAAATAATTAATTTCAAGGAATAAAATGAACTTTTTTCTAAATGTAACTCTTTTTTTAATGAAAATTTGTTTTCCCTGATTATGATTTACAACACAACATCCATGTTAGAGAACAATCTTGTTTTCAATAAGATCCTCATCAGGTTTTATTCTGATATTAATAATACAAAGTTCAACAAAGGGATCTCTATTCAACGAATTCATTATCAAGCAGTACAATCGAATATGTATGAAAACCTTTTTGGTTAAAGTGCTAATTCCGTGAGGAAATGTGAACACGAATAATTAAGATGACGCAATACAAAGTTTATAATACTAGATTACGTAATACGAATAATAACAATAGATTTAGTGAATATAATAAGATGATTGAAAATGTTTTTGTTACAATATCAGAAAGGTTTTTGTGGATATTATAATGATTTTAATGATTGAGATTATGACCATCATTGAAAATCTGCAAGCACTGGACGGTCGTTTCGTCCTATTGTGGGACTCCTCAACAGTGCACATCCATGATCCTGCCTCGTGAGATTTGAACCCACGACCTATCAGTCTCATGCTTAAACACTAGACCACTGAGCTGCCATCCAACGATGTTAATGTGTAACTTCGATCAATCTACAAAATTGAGTGACATATCTAAAGTAATTAAAGGTCATAAAAGTGTAAAAATAAATAAGGTGATATGATGAGTATTTATCAATAAAATAATGAGAATATTAGACATAAGTAAAAGGGAATGCAGTAGTAATAATAATATTGATTAAGGCCAAGGTAACGATAACGATAAGACATACTTCTTTTGTATGGATAGTTCTGGTTTGAGCTCATGGATGGTAAGAGCTTCAGTTATTTTTAGGAGTTGAATACAAAGAAATCTAGGTAAATTTGAACGAACCATATTAACAACATTAAAATCAAACTGTGGATCCGTAGAATGATTGCAGTCGATTAAATGTTCAAGTATAGAACTCCTAACTGCTTTCCTTTTACCCTTGTAGAACCAAACTGAGACATGTTCTCATATCCGAGTTCTAATATATATATATATATATATATATATATATATATATATATATATATATATATATATATATATATATATATATATATATATATATATATATATTAGAACTCGGACATATATATATGCTCTTATTACGTAATCTTATAATCTTTCCACAAATGTTATTACAGTGTCTACATTTTTCTAATCATTAACCTATTTCCGATTATATAACACTGATTCAAGCCTTTATTATTCTTATCAAAATTAGTACATCTGTCATCACACTATCAATTCTTACTTTTACCTTAATATGTAATCTTTTCCATTGTTATCACTGACTTATAAACTACCTTGATTGGTTTAATAATTTTGTATATGCATATCAATGCATTACCGTATATTAGAGTGAAGGCTGATGAGGATCTAAGTCAAAACAATATTGTTCGCTTATATATGTTGTTTTCATTTGTCGAATGGATATATGAATATATGTTGAATATATGAAAATTATATTTGAAATAATCTCAGCAATTGAAATTTAAGATATTCTAACATTTCGTCCAGTTAAATTGTCTGGACTTCTTCAGGGTAATAATCAAGAATTGCCCTTCAAAGTGGTAGCTGCTTTTGAATATTTACTCAAGGTTTGCTCATATCTACATCTATGTAAAGAAGCTTTCATAACATTCTTAAAAGTTTCACAACTCGGTATTCTTACAACTAGGTAAACATTTACCATTATTGGTTGTTAACCATTATCTTATGAACAAACGTACATTGTGATAATTGTTTAATTTGTATGTTATTTATTTCTAAAAGCTTAAAATTACTAATTTATATATTAGAATTTTCAGGAACTACTTATCGTTTAAATCTCCGTAAATTATACACTCTCTATTTTCCCTTAAACTATGAAATTAAAATCGCTTCATATCTTTCTCTCTACGAACTAATTCTTTCTTTCTGTAATATATTCTTACATAAAATCTATCTTTTATATATTACACCATTGAGTCAACTACTTCTATGAATCCGGTGTTCATCTTGCTGTGCTAATGAAGTATAGCAACTTGGACCAATGTACATATATGCTTGGTCTTACGTTGTAGCTGACTGACTGATCGTAAAGTTAATGAACAGTTAACAAACTTTAGTATACCAAAGTAGGTTCCAAATTATAATATTTACCAATATACAACGCGAATATTATGTAAGACGTTATTTCATAAACGTTTTCCATTTTATCTATTTCACAAGTAATATTACTTATAAAATATCAATAAAGCTTTATGTTTTATGGCTTTATGGCTTAAAAATAGCAAGATGAAATATTCATCATGTGAATATATGCCTTATTTAATTTATCAGTAGTAACATATTTTGTAATATAGATTAACATAAAATAAATTTAAACTAATATTATGTAATCATTTAACTAAAATGTTGACATCATCCTTTTGTTAAATGGTATATACCAATATTGAAACGTCACATTATCATTAACTAAAGTCTCTTTTTTTTTTAACCCGGTTGAAATGTATGATGTAAGACAGAATTTATTATTATTAAAATGAAGAATAAAATTGAAAAACAAAAACAACACATCATAATTACATGTATTCTAATGACATAAATTTTTTTTTAATTTTTAAGGCGCCATCATTAAAATCATTTCATTGGACAGTTAAAACAAACAATTATTTCATTTTTTTTTTAAAAACATAACCCATCCCAGTTACAATGAACTATCTCCAGTGTAGACCAAGTTTATTGTAGTGTTATTTTATATTACAATAAATATACATTTCTATTTTTCTCTTCATTTATACATGTCCGTTTTTTATTTGATAATAAATGAATTAGAGAAAATGTATGAATATTTTCTTTTTTTATTTTTTAATCTCTTGAATATTCTCACTCGTTCGCTTCCTCCATACTTCCCTCCCTCCCTCCTCCCCTCATATTGTACACATTCCCAATACATATAACAACTAGAAATTATTACACAGTAGAAGTGTTAAGATTCTTTTATGGCGCCAAAATTCATGTAATTTTTCAATAATTAAACTTTTCTCTTAATTTTATTTCTAACATGAAAATAGACTACATATATACATATACATATGAGAATATACAATCATACCTAACTATATAGTGAATATGTTGTCAACAGCTGTGAACAACAAAAAACATAATTCTATGCATAAAACTTGATTGAAATAAGTAGTATTAAATAAAAATCAGTTTAATGAAATTAACCGTTTGGTTACAATAATGCTGTTATGGTTTCTATTCATATAAGTTATATATTTCATTGTAAATGAATATAGTAGCATGTAAATAGTAATTATTTTACATTTCGATAGTTTCATAAGAAGAAGACGAAGATTATCATGACTATTTGATGATATAATGGAGCAATACATTTTGAACAATCTGATCATACATATAATATACGTCTTAAGAACATTTATATACAAAAATATAAAAGACCAACTAGACTAGAGTTGGAGGGTAAGTAGAGATAAGGATAATAAAGTAATATTGTGGAAACAAATTGAAACCTAATCACTAGGATAAGTTTAAGATGAGGACAAACTGTTCTAAAGTTAAACATTCTCAAATATACTACTCAAATAATAATTTATTTGTTATTATTTTTTGTAAGTAATATTGTGACTGTATAACTCAAAGTAATTGAGATCATGAACATAAACGTTGAAATTCATAGGAGGCGATCGGCGAAAAAGTTTTTAATTAGCCAAAATATATTATTATTTGGTTAATTATTTGTATAGTCCATTATCGCTTAATGTCTCCGAAGATTACAAATATATATTCATTCTTAAAGATGTGGAAATTCACTGCAATCCAGTTATATAAGTCGATATACCTAAAGCGAGTAAAACTGTAATTAAATACGGATTGGCTTCTTCAAAATAGTGACATTATCACTAGACCTATAAAATGGTGCCGTTGGTTAAGCGTTCGCGCGCGAAACTGAAGGCCCTTGGTTGTAATCCTCCTTGCAAGATCGTGAATGCCCGCTGCTGATGAATCCCATATTGGGAAGAAACGTCCCCTCAGTGCTTCTAGGGTTTCCATGGTGGTCCAGCCTTATTTGACTTATGAATTCAACTATTAAATTAACAATAATTTTACATAGCTATTCGCTTACGGTGAAAAGTCCTTATTTATTTGCATTGTCAACATAAATGTTAGATGTTTTTTGTGTCTATCACCTCTAAAGTATGTAAAGGATAATGTTCCTATTCATAAAATGAATAAAATAATTTACTTATTATTATATGAATATATTTCTGACTATTTCTTTGAATTGAATTGTTCTAATAGAAATTTCAAATAACAAATGAATTATCCAAACCAATCTAGTCTATTTACAATGCAATAACTAAATAAGTTCGCTTATCCCCAACGTTGTATGTAGCGAAATTCACCTTTGTGTTAAAATGCTAAAGAAAATATCTAGTGAAATAAATATCATGCATTTCAATTGGTTTGATTTTGTTTTGTAAATTATATCGAATTTCGGAAGTGATGCTACGTTGTAATAATCAACGACAAATTTAAAAATAGATTTTATAATTGTCCATTGTTTCTGAACTGAATAATGATGACAGACACTATCTAGTACCAGTATTTAATGCCTCACCAAAAACGACTAGTCTGTATTGCTATGTTAAACCTATATATCTTATTCTCGCTTTCGGACAGACTATTCTATTCATTCTGCTTGAGTCACGTTTTGACCATATTAATTATTCGTTTATCAGCCTTGACTGTTTTTAGATAAGCTTATGTATGTACTCAATAAATGTCTGTAGAGCATTTTTATCTGGCTACAAATATTGATTAACGCTTAGTTAAATCGAATTAGCTAACACGCCTTCTGTACTGGGCGTCATTTTTTTCACTTCTATAATCTCCTTCGCTCTTCCCTCTATGTTTCATCTCCTTGATTGCCTGTTCAAATCAATCAGTGCACAAAATGTACATATTCGAAAATTCATTCTCATATTTGACTTAATTAATTCCGTTATACACTAACGCAAGTTAAGTCGACGATTATATGCGAAGATAGCCAACATATGTATTTCAATAGCAATCATTCATACGGTTGACCTGGAGTTAGATAAAGGGCCACAAACCATCTAAATTCTTTTAATGAAAGCCATTGATCAAGTGAATACGTATAAAATTCACAAGTCAAGATAGTCTGTTTTATACAAAGAAATCTATTAATGATTTAAATGTAGGTTATTGTATGTAAAACAATTAAACAATAAAAAGAGAAATAAATGACTTTTATTTCTCATTAATGAATCAATAAATCAACAGGAGCTCTGACTAAATTAACGGTTATTGGGGCATTTAGTGTTTACTGCAATACTAGTGAAAGTAACCGTTTAGCTAAGCATAAGTGATTAAGAATATGTGAGAATTATTGCTTTATGTTGAAGAGGTAAGACTAAACTAAAATAATTTGTACAAGATACTTTCAATTGAAAAATAGTTACCATCAACCTCAGTCAATTTATATACCAACCTCATATGTCTAGGGAATTTTTTAAAAGTGAAAAAAAATATTTTAGGCATCATTTCACATACTAAATGTTTGGTTAGACTGGTTTTTGTTTTAGTAAAATACCATTTATTTGTTTAGTTATCCTATAAAACAGATAGACTGTCAGTGGAAATCGAAGATCGCTAAACGAATTTCAGATTCTACACTTACATATTCAGGATTGTGACTGGATTAGGAATATAAAAAAAATTTTTTAAAAGAAAGTTATTACAATTATGACTTACTTTCTCTTTCTCAGCTTGATTACGTTGACACTTTGGAGTTGAAATTGGAGATTTTTTATCAGGGTTTATTTGATCAAGAAGGCTGTTATCGGAAAACAAGGATTTTTTCTTGAAATATCCTCATTCAGACTTTTAAGTAGTATTTGAATTTTTAAACCTTGGAGGCTCTAATTTTTCTAGTAAAGTGAAATGAGTTTAAGAGGTAGATGGTTATTAAAGACTCAAATAGTATTTAATCAGGTCGATTCTAACTATTGTGGTCAGGAATTTCTAATAACGCTGATTGGTTAATCGAGGATGCTATAAACTTCAATCTAGCTTATTGGAGATTTAAAACAAAATGAACTTTCTGAATTTTCCTAACAACTGAGATCTTTTAATTGATTAATAATTAAAGAACACACATGAATTAACTGATAGTCGACAGTTTTGTGTTTGATTTGAGATAGGAGATTTGAAAAAGCCCACTGTGCTGTAAGTGTGGTTACATATTTGATTATCCAAACGATTTAACCACATGATTTCTAATGTCAGTTTACAAGCTCGAAATTCCTATAGTTTCCGCTTGCTGAAAATAGTCGACAAGAAGATCTGAACCTAGATTTTATGCTATTTGGAAGTGACGTTCTTTGTAGGATTCCAAACACCAGCAACCACGTTCACAGTTGAAGACATTGAGCAGCGAATTGCCTACTGTAAGATGGATTTTAAAATTGATTGATGAAATTCATTCCGCGCTGTGGGACTAGATAACATGATACTCTTTCATATTCACTGGCTAATCAATTGTAAACTCACATCTCAATATGACATCTAAACCTGTTAAGAGTTACTTGTTCTACAATCAGCACGAATATAATAAATTCAAATTCCATCCATGTTCACCGTTTTGATCAATTCATAACAATAATGTTCTATAATTCTGCTTTCACTTACTACACGCCTTTCATTCAGATATTTACCTATATATTTATAACTGTTATAGAAAATGCTTTTCTACCTCCTTATATGTGAATTCACATGGTAATTACCTTAGGCCAATTGTTCATTTTAATTAAATACTAAAGATATTTTAGAAAAATAATAACATTTGATTACTTTACTATTTATGCATGATGAACAGGTATAAACTTACTTATTTCAATTTTCCAATGTCTATATAATTAACATGCAATAAATGACATGGATAAACGCATTACAAACTTGAAAACAAAGTACCATTTATTTTTATACGCTTACTATTACGACACATTGTATATTATAATTATGATAATGTTCATAAATTCTATTACATCTCATTATTTGTGTCGTATAATCAAGTATGGCGCCTTATTTATCTTGAACAAAAATGTAAATTGTATAATCTTATGGCGCCTAATTACAGTCATTCAATGTGTATGTAAATCCTCAGTAATAATTTTCGTTTATTACAGAAATACTTTTTATGATTCTATTTCTATATATATGTAAAAATATTATAAAGTTTATTTTGTTTAAATAAAGCCCCAAGACATTGGCACCATAAATTGTCATTTCAGTGTCCATACATATATATACTTCACCATTAAATGTTATTATCACAATTATTATAAATAAACTACCGATAATAATCAAACTGAATAAAATTTACGATGAATACTGACAGGTAACTAAAATATGCAAATAATAACAGTTACCATGATAAGAATAAAAAACTAGTTTTTTTGAATATCTTTATTCAAGTTGTCAAGCAAGTACACACACACACACAAAAGTATAGAGAAAGATTGTAGAGAGAGAGAAAGAGGAAAAAACTTTATTCACTACATATTGTCTCATATGTTCATCAATATTATTACTTTTTTTCTTTTTTTTCTTTTTTCTCTTTTTTTTCACAGTGAAAACAATATCACAATAAATATGAAGAAAAAAGTTATTTTGTCTCTGTGTAACGTGGTAAATATTTATTTCAATATATGGAATATCTACATGATTGTTGTTTATAGTAAAAGAAATAATGTTCAGTGTGTTTTATGAATAAAAATGTGTAAAAAGGGAGAGGAAGAGAGAGAGAGAGAGAAAGAGATAGGCACCATTAAATCAATGTATAAGTTCGAATAATAAACTAATTAGAATAGAATAATGAAATAATACTAGATTTATTGATTTTAGGGGTATTTTTGAGAAAATTAAAAATATGAATGAAAAAAAAGTTTATTTAATATTGATTTTCTAGTTGATTAGATTGAATAGTGTTAGCCTCTATGGTAAATCATTATAATTTGTAAGTTTAAAACCTATAGAATAAACAAACTACACTATTCTCTAAGCATTAATACATTAAAATCAATATTGATTTGTTCATGTTATTAAGATCTTTATAGTAAACTATTGATAACAGTTTTTGTTCATACTCTTTTCTTTTTCATAAGAATGGTTTCCATGGGTGGACTTATTTTGATGGAGTTTTGTTCTTTGAGCTGGATCGTGGAGTTTTCATCGATCTTCTGAATGACATCATCAGCACAAACTTCAGATAGAAGTGAAGTGTTCGAATTTCTCCATATGTGTTTCACAGCTTGTTCTGTGCACCTCGATGTTGATTGGTTCTTAATGACCTTAAATTTGTTATTGTTTACCTCTTTGTTTTGGTTGTGTCTTCCATTGGTTTGATTTTTGTTCCTGTATTTGTGCATGATTTTCCTGCGCTGATGATGTCGTTCAGAAGAACGATGAAAGATCCACGACCAAACCATCCAGCTCAGAGAACTAAACTTCATCAAAATCATCCACCTGAGCTATAAATCTCCACCATGGGTGGACTTATGATACGAATAATAGCAATAATAATAATAATAACTATTATTATTATTATTATCAAAATTATTTGTATACACTCTGTCGAATTCCAAATGAATTATCTACTATCCCTAAATACTATGTAAGCTACCATAATTTTTAGCCCCTGAATAGATCAAAACATTTGGTTGTGTCGAAAAGTCAATAACCTATAACAGCTGATACTATGGAGTAGATCATAAATAAAATCAAATACTTCAAAGGATTATATTAAATGGTGCACTCTGTTGTTACCTGTGTGTTTATTTTACGTTAATAATTAGTGATTATATTTTTAGCATCTTGAGGTAATTAGTATTTAGTAATTTCCAGTCACAATTACAGTTATATTTTGACGAAAATATGAAAAAATCTATTGAGAAACATGTGATTAGGGTTTGTTTTACCATTCACTGAATGGTCGTTTTGTCGTAGTATGGGAATCCTCAGCAGCACGCATCCACAATCGTGCTCGCGGAATTTGTACGCTTAACCTCTAGGCCACTGAGCCGACATCCAACGGTGCTGATGTCTAACTTCAACTAACCCATGAAATCACGTTACTGTCAACCATTGTCTAGTGCTTCCAGGTTTTCCATGGTGGTTTAGCTTTAATTGACTCATGAATTCAATCATTAAATTATTGAAATCTCCACAAAACTCCTTTCTGATGATATATTTTTATTTGTTTGTTTCATTAATATGAATTTTGTTTGATTTACATCAAATTTATTCGTCTTCATATTTTTTATCTCAATAATTCACATTCTTTCAAGTTGCATATCAAACAAGAAATATATTTCCAACTCGAAATTTCAAAAGATACTTACTGTCTTTATTTATTGATTCCTATCATAGATAGATACTGAAGAATTTTGAATGTTTCTAATATGTTTATCTATAAATGTTAGTTGTTTCTAAGTATTTCTTCAATTTAAATGATTCTTCAAGTGATCTGAGTACCCGGTGACTAAATGTTTAGTTGAAGAAATCATGATAATTCACCCTATTAAATTATAAATTTGTTTTAATTTTGGACTTTGTATGCTGGTTTTATGGTTTTCAATTTAAACCTTTAAAATAATTTCTGACTTCATAGTTTTTGCATTTTGAACAAAAAGAATAAGACTTGGTTAACACAGAACGATAGAATGAAATTTAAATATATCAAAACATTAAAACTGAAAATTGATAGATATTTATCTCTATGCTTCTAAATGTACTACGACTGACTATTTTAGTATCTACGATCTTAAAGCTGCCTCCATGGTCATCGATTTCAAATTCTAACTTGATGGCAACATTTTTCACTAATGGATACAAGTTTGGTTTCTCACTAAGCAAACCAAAAAAACACAGATTGTATTAATTTGAACCAATTCAAGTGTAGAATATAGATATGAATGGACCTAAATATTCTTGTTATCCGGAGAAGAAAATTTATTTAGAAGTTGGTGTCATTACGAAACTATATTTTCATAAAGTATTTCCAGTTTTATGAACATTAATAAGATCCGAAGTTTACTTTACAGCCATATAACGCAGTGTCGCTAATTGTATGCAGAAAAATATAATTTCATTAACTGAATTACATAGCTTGTAGGGTCTAAATAGTTAGTCATTCCAATTTCTTATATTGTCCTTTTATTTTATCAGTATAGGTTTGTAGTGATTATTACTATATTAGTTAATTAAATCAAAGTTAACTTGAAGCTTAGTCCGCTAGTTGTCAGACGGATATGATTTTTACACAATTTTAATTTCAACTGATGCATACCTAGTATAAGGGATTTGTGAAGATTGTAGTATTTTCATTATCGAAGTCACAAACTAATCTGAGTTTGACTTCTATTACAAACCTGGAAGCACTAGACGTCCGCTTCGTCCCAGTATAGAACTTTTCAACAGTACATCCATGACTCAGGAACATAGAAACGTGTATTTAACAACGTCTGAAAGTTATTAGTGCAACTCAAAATGTTGATTGATTCTTCATTACAGTTTATATTTGTGCTAGTTGATAAAAATCAGTAATGCAGCATTCTTTTCTATGAATTAATACGTCTTATTATCATAAGAAAAGCATACTACAGTAAGTGATTATTTGAATGAAACTATTGAAAAGTAAATTTACTTTTCATTGAAATGTGATGAGTTTTAAAAAAAAATTAGATGGCTTGTCTACTTGTAAATAACAATAGATCCCCTTCAATTGGTAACTAAGACGAAATAACCAACCTAATCTTTAGTAGTGAATGAACTCTATGTTCATAGTACACAAAATTCCCAATCAACTCTTATTTATGATTTTTCTCAGTTGAGACTAAATCATTTTATTAAAATTATTTCTTTAGAGTAAAAGTTGTTCTACACACAATGAACAAATTTATAAATTCATAAAACCAATCGCCTATTGGTCAATATGAAATATCACTGATTTTGTTTTCTCCCTACCACCCAACCCCCCCCCCATATCTATGAATGTCGATTTTGTTTATAATAAAATGAATAGAAAATAACATTTTACCTATTCACAAAACTTTCAAGGTCAGCTGAAACAATACAACAATGCAAAAAAAACCCAGAATGTTTCATTTGTAAAGAGAAATAACTCATATGCCAACTATTACCGCTATACAACATCTAATTAATCAAATATAATTCTATTTCAATTGACCAGATGGAATAGTTAGAGAAGAAAAACGAGAAAAATTTAACATACTACTTATCAATTGAATAATAGACATACAAATTATTCGTATTTTCAATTTCAATTAATAATAAATAAATAATTTCAATTTTAATAAATAAAATTATGATATAAATAAAAATTTCATCATCACCCTAGCAACTATAACTTTTAAATATGTACAGTGTATAGAGTATATGTTCACTATGCAATATAGAATAATGTTTTACAATGTCTAATATATACATTCAATTAATAATATTCATATGTATTTTCATTGATTTACCTTTAATTTATTCAAATCGAATTACATCAAAATCAACATATATTGTCAATGATTTACAAGATGTGAATCTTATTAGTAACCATGGTAACTCAGTTGATAAATCGAATATTTCAAATTATTTATGGCATTTATTTCAAAATCGAAATATAAATTCATATCAAATGGAAAAACCAATTTTATATTATACACCTAATACAAACAATGAACTCAGTAATAATACATCAATTAAATTTAATAAATCAAAACCTTTACAATTTTATCATAATTTACAAACATCCGGAAATGTAAATATTTTTCAAAGAATAAAAGATGATCCAGTTCATATAAAAGCAGAGATGAATTCAAATTTAAGAACAACTAATCAAATGCCGCAAACTAATCAATTAACTATATTCCCTAATGAAATTCCATTAATACCTAATGAACGACCATTTCATAATCATGTATTATTAAAACATAATGAAATGATTCGTTTATTAGGTGGACAAAATTTTAATAGTGAATTTATGTCATTTAATAAACCATGGGAAGCTATCATGTTTCCAAGTGGTAGATTAATTTCATCAACTTTTATAAATGATAATAAAAATACATTTGAAACATTATTATCATTAAATAGAAATCGTAGATCACGTAAAATCAAATCAAAAAATCATCAAAATTTTTTAAATATTTATGATTCATATAAAAAAAGAAAAAAACATAATCACATAGATACTAATTTAAATCAATTTTTTCAAAATATAATGCATCGATTAAAATTAATTGAAAATTTAAAATATAAAAATCAATTCAATGATCAATTGTTACATTTTCAATCGAATCAACAATATTTTAAACATAATCGAATGAAAAAAAATCGTCAATTAAAACGTATTCTACGAGAATTTTTAAATGATTATAATAATTGCCCATTATATTATATATGGTATGATTTAGGACCAAAATATTGGCCAAGATGGATTAAAACTGGTCAATGTGTTAATTTAGCTAATACTTCATGTTCACTACCTCCTGGAATGTATTGTCAAGAAAAAAATACAAAAAATATAGCTATATTACGTTATATATGCCCTGAAAAATGGCCTTTATCCAAATGTAATTGGTATAGAGTACATTTACCAATTGTAACTGAATGTAGTTGTCAATGTACAAGTAAATCAACACATAGGAAGGATTCTTGATATAATGTTGAATAAATTTAATGATATTTTCTACTACACCATTTTTTTCAAAAATTTTATCACTGTGGGACGACTACTCAAGTTTCAGATAAAATTATGACTAAGATATTTAAATGATAATGTGTCATAACGACGAGATAATACTGTGCTCAGTATATTCATCTATAGATGAGTTTAACATTGAAATCCTTAAATAATAATTCATTCATTTAAACAACCGATGCTTTAGGTGTGAAACGGTGGTGAGTTTTGAGAATAAAACCTTATTTGACATGTATTATTTACAATTAGCTCATCAAAGTATAATTGCATTTCAATAAAACATTCATCTATAAGCAATGATGCCTGGTGACTAGCAGTGGAATGCAGTACAAATGTTTCGGCCTATTTCGAGCTTGTAAGCTGGATATACATCTATTTCAGAGTTGATGTTTATTTAAATGCAGTACCGATTACTTCAAGCGTCACGGAATTATCTATTTAGCTACTGAGTTTAGATAGCCGTTTCTGCAATGCAGTGGAGTTCAGTTCATTTGTATTGACTGTTTGAATTTTCCATCTCTGTTTATAATGTTTGTTACTCAATGGCAATATCGAGAAAATACATTTGGAATGCACATATGCTTAAAAGAGACTGATCAACATCAATGGAAGATTCAAACAACCAATACATGTGAAGTATTTGTGTTATGTTAACACAATATACTTTAGTCATATTTGATGATAAGTAAAATACTAAGCTTACATTAAATAAATATTCAAACATCCTATAATGTAATGAAGATGGATAGTGGCTAGCAGTAAAATCCAGGACGTGCGTTTCGTCCTGTTTGCAACTCGTCAGCTGGATTTACCTGCGTATTAGTGTTGATCCTCACTTTAGGACACAAACCCACTACCGTTCGCTTCAAACGCTATTGCTTTATCCACTTAGCTACTGAGTTCCAATAGCCACCTGTTTGTGTATTAGGGTGAAGTTTTAAATTCAATTGATGTTATTTACTTGTATCTCCCCACTGTTATTTAGGACTACAAGTGATCAGTCTTTTGTTGGTGTATATGCACCCTGTGCGGATTGCCTCGGTATTTTATTAAGTGACAAGCTTAATAAGTAAAATAACATTAAAACACTTAATAATCATAAAAATAATGACAAAAACATTCTCGTCACAAAGTTTACTATAGTTATGAATATATGGAACAGTATTTAGTGTCTTATTATCAGACTAGAATAGTTGTGCTATATATATATAATACTGATTTCATTGTAATATCTTCATTCAGTTCCTAACGTATTTATATCCAAATCACTAGATTGATGACAGTTTTACACTTTCTAACTGAAGTATTCAAGGTGACTTCTACTGGCAAGTATATTTTATAGATAGTTAAATCTAACAACAGTAACTATACCAGAGAAAAACCAATATTTCACGTTTTTATCGTATATCATCTCTGATAAAAAAAGTAGTTTTGAACCATACCGTAACTCATAAAGATGGCTAACCGATAATGAGACAGATTAGTTGAACCAATGGCTATTTTTTGTTTCAAATTGATTTTCGGGTAAATGTTTTTTGTGAATACCCAAGTTTCGTACTTACATACGCCTGTTACTCGTCGTGAAGTAGCATAGGCCATTCACCGGCATTCTCCATCCAACCCTGTCCCGGGCAATCCTTTCCAGCTCCTCCCAGTTGTTATTCATCCTTTTCATATCTGCTTCGATTTCCCAACGTAATGTGTTCTTTGGCCTTCCTCCTTCACGCTTCTCTTCAAGATTCCAAGTCAGGGCTTGTCTCGTGATGCAGTTCGGTGATATGAGTAATGTGTGTCTTATCCATTTCCATCGTCTTTTCCTAATTTCTTCTTCAGCTGGGAGCTGGTTTGTTCTCTCCCACAGAAGGCTGTTACTGATGGTATCCGGCCAATGGATGTTGAGTATCTTGAGTAGACAACTATTTATAAATACTTTTACCTTCTTGATGGTGGTTGCTGTAGTTCTCCAAGTTTCAGCTCCGTACAGTAGAACTGGCTGTCTTGACGTTCGTATTGAAGATTGTGACTTCGGTATTGGTTGAAAGTTGTTTTGAGTTTCATATTTTCTTTAATTGTAGGAATGCTGTCCTTGCTTTGCCAATCTTTGCCTTTACGTCTGCATCTTAACCTCGTTGTTCATCGATGATGCTTTCCAGGTATGTGAAGGATTCTACATCTTTCAGAGTTTCGCCATCAAGAGTGATTGGATCGCTGTTCTCTATCGTGTATTTGAGGACCTTGGTTTTCTCTTTGTGAGCTAGGAAAGTCCATTTATCTCAAATTGATTAACATGATTCATTAAAACATTTATCTGATAGTAATTGTGATAATAAAAGTGAAAACTGTTCTGAAAACTATAAAACAGTTCAACCTTATAGATCTTCTGATCTCTTTTCAAAAGTGCAACAGGATAAGCGTCTATTTTACTCTCAAAAAATATCATGATCATTTGTTCGTTAATATTTCATAAAGCAGTTGAAATCTTTATGATAAAATGCGTCTCAATTCTGACAATTGATGTTAAGTGGCATCAATTTACTTCATGTATAATAAATTCAGTTAGTTCAATCTTAAAAGATATATTTGTAACTTGGTGTTTCTTAAATAATAACCAATGTGTTTTCTGAGAGAATTTCCTCATAAAAAGAACAATAACAGCCACTCTGTAATACTTTGCACCAAATCTCAGAAATCATTTCAACTGCTTCATTAAGACATGATCTGTTTTCTCTAAACAACTGAGATGCGTTATTTTCATACTCGTCTGAGTGAGAGAAGCGGTTAATTCATCACCGACTTTGACACTCAATAGTAGCTATCATGAGTTCAGATTTGAAGAAGCCTAGGAACAAACAAACCAAAACGTTCCATAATTCAAAGATTCAGTAACTGTTGAATTCATTTCCATTGTTATCTACTGACAATGTCATTAAGTAATCGTAAATATCTCCCTTCTTTTTCATATTCCACTTACATTACTATATTGAGATATGTATTTCTTCAGTAACTAAGTATATCGACTACCTATTACATTATAGGCCAATAGATCTTTCAAAATTTGTTTATTCACAAGAAATTAGTTCATTGAATTATTTCAAAACGGAAATTAATCTTAAGTTTAAAATTGAAATTTATGATGATTATCTTATTTATATACTACTGAATAAATTATAAATAGTTTGCTGAAATGTCAATATTTTTTCTTAAATTTTCATTCAAATTATTATAGTACACACATAGTATACATTTTATTATAAGCTGTCTATACATAATCTATTTGATTCGAATAACTTGAGGACAGAAATTTAAGGTCATGACCTGTATAACTAATCAACATATGAATGACTGACACTATTCAATCCTACTTTATTTATTTTATTCATTGTTATATATATCTGTATTCATTTGTATTATTGTGTGTAAATTAAAATGAGTTGAATTAATTCGATCGGGTTTAGTTTTATTAAGAATTCATAATGAAAAGTTGCCCTGTGAAAAAATTTTTTTCGAATAGTTTCTATGTTTCATTGGATATTAACTGTACTTCTATTGCTTTATTTATTTATGATGAAATCAGTCATTTATTCTTTTAAAATAAATCCATTGATATTAATCATTTCAATGATTTTGTTCTGTTAAACATTTCAGGTTATCTAAAGATGTTGGGCTATTGAATTGTTAATACACTTGAATTACATTTAAATGATGTAATTACTGTAATTTACTGTTAGGTGGATAGTGTCTTCAATGATTAATTTGTGAATAATCTTGGTTTTTGGAGGAGACTTTTATCAAGAACAACTATTTGCATACAATGTTGATAGGGCATGTCCTATGTTTACCTTTGGTTAGTGTACGAAAAAACGGGAATTCTGTTGAGGAACATTTAAGCCCTGTTTTACAATCTATTAAGGAATTTATTTGGGGTAAGCATCAAATGTCTCAGATTTGGCTTTCTCAGTTTTCAGTGTATCACTATAGTTTTACAAATCATTCTGCTCCGAAGATTAGTGATGATTTCTACGTTAAACCACATTGGGCCCCTTCTTTGCACATTGAGAATAATCCAAAGTAAAAATATTTAGGTAAAAATCTCGATATTTTTAAATACCATCAAACCACATCTAAAGAAGCATCTGCTTCGATAGATTATTAGTGTACGAATGGTATGTATATAATCCCCTAAATTTCTGGTCTTGATATCTGGTTTGGCAGGAGTAAGCACGGGTAACTGGATTATATCTTAGCATTTAAATGCTGTAAGAATATGTTTTACGTTTGCTTTGTCTTGACTCATGTAATATTTAACTTTGAAAGACAATTACAAAGTCAGCACTTATAAAATTAAATATTTTCTTCATATTAGGTGAGCTCACTGTGTAAAGTATATTTTTTTAAAAATTCAATCGACGTTCGACTCACAATAATTTCAGGATTTACTTCGAAATTCATAGCCACCTGTGATTCCTTTAAGTTCGCAACAGAAGGTCAGTTTTTATTACAAATCGTCAGCTTTAGGAAAACAACAATGAGTATCGAAGAGAATTAAGTATTTGTTTTATTGAAGTTCAGGACGCCGTAAAAGTAAACGCGCGTCTGTCGCTTCACACTCAATAGAAAACAACATTATGAAATCTCACGATTTTTTTACAGTTACCCAGATAACTTCAATCCAAATTGAGCCTTTAATCCAATCTTACAATATCTTCACAAAGACTACTTCTGTTGAACAAATTAGCTATTACAATGAAAGTGAAGAAAGAAAATGTTGTTAATCATTAGTTTACAATTCATTACAAGTACAACGATTTCTCTTTTTTAAATGATCAACCAGTATCACAATAAGCGTTAAATTCCATTATTTTATTCTCAAACCTCTGTAAATAAATTTACTAAAGGTGTTTGCGATTCTAAATTTCCTATCCGGACCAGGGTTTATGGCATTGAATTTCTACTGTTATTACTAATACAACTAATGGTAGTAGTAGTAGTAGTAGTAGTAGTAGTAGTAGTGGTAATACTAGTAAAATTGTCATAGTTAACTTCGTTGATTGGTCTTAGTTAAGCAATCAATAGAAATCATAAAACACTGAATAATTATGAGATACCTTAACAGCGCTTATCTATAATCCTACCTGGGATGAAATTCAGCATCTTCAGGCATCGAAACGAGTGCTCAACCGTTACATCAAACTGTAATATAAACATTAAAAACTCAATTAATCTCTGAGAACGCTTATGAAAAAAAAGATCATTCTGTATTCACTTAAAATAAAAACGTCAAATAAGAAAAGTATTGTGAAAATATGCAAACTACTTAAGTAATAAACTAAGTAAATGATGTATGTATATGATTTATGAATTACATAGGATGTTAATTTTGATATAATCTAATAAGAAAAAAGGAATAATTCATTTTCTAGTTAACTATGTTCAATTTTCAATGTTGTAAGTTTACTCTTCAATATGTTATAACATCATATTTACCTGTGATATTGTACACTATGCTTTCTTCCTTTCTTTCTTTCTTTCTTTCTTTTTCTCTTTCTCTTTTTATTACGTAATTAACATTGAATTAAGCAATGAATACAATTCATATCAATAAATTAAACTATAACAAATCGGAATTGAATGAAACCATGAAAACAAAAGGAAAATGATTTCAAAAATCATCAAAACTATTTTCAAATTGTTCTTTTTCAGCAATATTGAAATTGAATTCATTAGAACAATTAAAATGATTTATATCTTGTAAATTATTATTATTATTATGATTACATAATGGTTTATAAGGAGGTTCAATATTCAATTGATATAATTGTAACCAATTTAAATCTTTAAAATAATCATGATTTTTAATATCATGGATACCATTTTTTAAATTACCATAACGTCGACTTAAATCAATTTGTATTAAATTCCTTATTAAATCTTTTAATAATGGATTAAAATGATTTGTAAATGTAATATCACCAATAATAATTAATTCAAATGTTTTCATTTGATCATAATGCATAAATGGTGGATAACCAGTAGTCATTTCATATAATAATATACCAAATGCCCACCAATCAACTGAATGATGATAACCTTTATTTAATATAATCTCTGGTGCCATATAATCTGGTGTACCACATAAGGTCCATGTACGTTTATGTTTAGGTAATAATTTAGCAAAACCTAAATCAGTTAATTTAATAAAACCATTAGAATGAATTAAAAGATTTTCTGGTTTTAAATCACGATAAACTATTGCTAAATAATGTAAATATTCAAATGCTAATATCACTTGAGCACCATAGAATTTGACCATTTCATTAGGGAATTGTTTCATATTACGTAATAATGTAAATAAATCACCACCTATTGCATATTCCATAACCAGATATAAATTACTATTATCTTTAAAACTATAATATAATGGTATAATAAATGTAAAATTACATGCAGCTAATATACGTTTCTCATTAATCGCATTATGAATTTGATGATTTTTAATAACTTGTATTTTAGATAATATTTTTAATGCAAAATATTTATCCGTATAAATTTGACGTACTAATAGAACATGACCAAAACCACCACGTCCTAATGTACGAATTCTTTGAAAATCATCTAATTTTGCTGTCATTTTCATTAAATTATCATGATATAATTCATGAAATAATTTAGATTGTTCTATTAAAATATCAGCAAGTTCAGAGTGTGCTAACATGTTGATGTTGCTGACGTTGTTGTTGTTGTTGTTGATGATGATGATGATGTTGTTGGCTGTTTGCTATAATCACTGAAGAATGTGCTGTATGATACTAATTTCACATATCAAATTAGAAAGAAAGTTTTTTTATTGAAACGGATAAATAGGTATTTTTAATAATAATGAAATAAATAAATTTCCATTGTTTAATTAGATGGAGTTAATGAACAAATGAACATTTATTATTATTATTATTATTATTATTATTATTATTATAATGAATGAGATTGGTTGAATATTAATCGATTTTTATCAGTTTAAATTGTTGATAATACAAAGTGTACTTATACACTAAACGGATAATACACATACATACATTATTGTATATCACTTTTCCTTGATGGATACACCCAGTCTAATGCATAGACACATTAATATATATATATATATATATATATATATATATATATATAAACTGGGAGTACTGGAATGAACGTAACTCTCGCGCGCAAACCTCAAGACCACTGAGGCGGCATCTTCAATTGTCGTGATGAAAAGTCACAATTAGATTTATTTACTCATTATGATTTTTATTCAACATGAATTCTATTTAATTCAATTTGATGATCACTCAGTATAGTATTCGTTACTGTTTTCCCCTATGACATTTTATTTTGTACAACATACGATATTTTTGTATGAAGTATTTTCCAGATATGTGATTTATTCTGATTATAAATCAAAAATGAGTGTACAAACCAATATATAAATGAGTGTGTCTCCGACTCGACTTTTCATGGTTGCTCGTGCTTCTGGCTGCTTGCGGAATATGTTTTACCTTTTCGAACTTGGACTTCTGTCTCTGGTTAGCAGTGCTGGGATGCATCACAATAGCTGGCTTATTGGTCTTTGGCCACAGAGTCTTTGTTCGGTTCGCAGACTGGGTGAATTCGTAATCGCTTCAAACATAACACTGAAGTAGACACCTATCTCTACCTCACATGCATTAGCTTCATTGGTCACGGTTTCTCACTAAAACTCCGGGAATTCTCTCACGAAGCTAGTCACTAGTGAGTACATAGTATGCGGTTGTGAAGATGGTTAAGTTTTTGATTGAGATAATCCTGGGTTCGAATCGTATGTGCTCACTGCTGAAGAGTCCTACACTGGAACGAAGTGGCTATCCAGTGCTTCCGGTTTTTCAATGGTCGTCTAACATCAATCGATTCATGATTTCAACCAAAAGCATAACAAACTCCACAACCCCATGCGGATTCAAAGGCCTTACAACCAACTTGTTGGCCATAATTATCATACAAATATATACATACATGCATGCCTACACAAGTTAATGAAAAACATGAAGAGTGATGAAATCGAATATTCAATAAATTATCATAATATTATGAATCGTTATTAATGAACAAGCATATCATTTTTATTAATTATGACTTTCGCTTTTAAGGGGGCAATGTAATATATCATTATAAAGTAATTTAGATTTTTTTAAACTGTAGTTAGTTAGGATATAATAATAATACCCTGAAACGGAAAAAAAACGGAAGAATATTTTCTTTTAAAGTTGAATTAACATGACATTCATCACCTAGACAAACAGTCTGTGGGGGGTGGTTTAGTCTCGAAATGGTTAACATCACAGACTGATATCACTTAGGAAATCACTGAAAGAATTAGAGTTTACAATTGGTTCTTGGAATTCAGAAATTTTAAAATTTATACCGTCCTCCCAACTGGGCCATAGATAGACTCAAAATTACCATAACTCTCTCTGAATGACTCACTTTAACCGATCGATCTGAGATTCACTGGTTACTATATCTATATACGATGACTAACATCTGTTAATATCATATACTACTGTTTTACTTTAACGTCGAAATCTATATGATCTCGTCACCACCAACTATTACTACTGTCCTAACTAAATGTATTACTTTTGACCGGTTGGTATAATGATTAGCAACTTTGTGTGATATAAATTCATATGAACGGCCTCTCATCAACAGTAACCTTTTCTAATAGTAAACCGACTCCATCAAAACTATGGTTGATCAAACTTACAAAACAGAATACTGTTTTTGTCCCTTTGTTTCGATTCTAAGCACTCGAGACTACAACCTGTCTTGGTAAATTGTATGAACATAAATAAGCTTCTGCACGCGAGACCGGAGGTCCTGGGTTCAAGTCCTGCGTGCGGGATCCTGGATGCGCACTGGTGAGCGGCCCCATACTATGACGAAACGATTGTCCAGTGCTTCCAGGTTATCAACCATGATCTAACATTCATTGATACGTGATCTCAATCAGAAATAATAAAGTTGAAGTGAGTGACTATTAAAGGCATCCAGATTTACAACTATGCAATGAATGTATCATTTGATGGTCAAAGTTTATTTTCTTCAAATTAGCCAAAGCTGTCAGATAATACACCCTTTTTCCATGTCATCAATCGCAGGAATTGTTTTCAGAATGAAATAGCACATATTAAATACATTACTGATTTTGAATTCCAAACATTATTTTACTCAATGAAAGAAAGAAATGAATGAAAGAATAAGACACAACTGAAAAATTCAAAGGTATATCACTGACTAATTTAGAAATGTCCACAATTACTGAATAAGTCACTTATCAACATTAAGGTTTAATGATTTTCAAATACTTACAGTTGTATCATCAACAATCTATGTGGTATTTCATCCATAAACGTAGATATTTTTTATACTTAGATGTATTTATCAATAGTTAAATTCAACGAAAATATGAAATAAAAGTATCATAAAAGTCAGCCAATCAAAGGCTGAATATTGTTTGCTAAATAACCAAATTGACATAGATCAAATGCATCAATTGATGAAGAAAACAACAAACCATCATATGATTGTGAGTCAGTTTGAAGAAAGGCTTTTTAAATTAGTAAACCAATTGATGATTATACAATTATTAACAAACAGTCAAATCAAATATCTTCAGGTGACATTGTGGCTACTATGGAAATTCTTGAGAGATACACGATTCAAATCATATTAAATCTCTTAACATCTGATTCTTTATACACATATGCATTTCACTATCTCTAAAATATAACACATCGCACCAATTATACTTTTATTATGATGAGGCAAAATGAAATCAAGCCTGCCAAATAATATTGTTTAAGACAATTTCTAAAAATAATGAGGACTTGTCAATAATAATTTTCAGTATGAACCAGTCTTTAGAAATTATTCGCTTATGATTAACTAAGTGATCGAGTATAGTCTCAAAGTTCTCAGTGCTTGAGGGTTTCATACACTGCTTAGTCTTTAGGAGTCTGGTAAACAAAAAAGTCATTAATGTCGTACATTAGGAGGTTATACACTGTGCTGCTGTGAATTATGTCTTATCATAACATTATGCAGCCAATAAAAATCTGTTTTCTACCAACCATCACAGAGGTTGGTACATGTTGAAGCTTTGATTCAGTGTATACCATGAAGAAAACTCAGAAAACATCACGAAAAAACTAGATTTTCTGACGTTTCGTGACTCAGTGTAAACCACTTCTTCAGAGAACATATAACCGAAAAAAGTTATAATCTTTTAAAAACACTGATGCAAGTCAGCATTTCTATATCACTTATGCGGTTTCCAGAACCTTATCTTCTGTATTTAGAAACTCAAAAGATTCAACATGATTTTCAAGATATTTCATACGTATGGCCTTAGAAGGCTGTCAATGAGTAAAACCTCATGAAGTTGAAAATTTTTAGGGTAGGCTGAAAAACCGAATCCGTTTTTGAAAAGCAAGTTATGAATTCCAAATATAAATTCAGTTGTGATATTTTTCCTTCACTCTGTTCCATGTTTCAGAGAATTTTATTGCTGAGTCTGTGGCCTAGATCTATCATTTACAGTTCTTATTACAACATAAAGAGTTCAAAATTCAGCTACTCCTTTGTGGTAGTTAGAACAGAATTACGGAAAATTCCTTTCTATAGTAAGTGGTTTTGATCTGAAAGACATTAGCTGAGACTAAAGATAACCATTGTAACTAAAACGTGGGCTGATCATATAAGAAATAGCAGATCATTAGCTCAATTCTTGTACCAAAGATGAATCTGAGAAAACTGGATAAACACACTATAACAATCATATGGTAAATAAGATTAGTTAAGTGAACAGATAACATATCATCCTCAAATTGTCTTACACGTAGCATTTAAAGAATAACAATGATAATCCAATATTTTCTACCACTATTTTATTCAAAGCAATTTTAAAAAGAATAATTCATTTAAACTGAGATAACACCTTCAGCATTCAAATTGTCAACACTATTGGCATAATTGTTATTATGCTACTTTTAAATGGTTAGTAGTTCAAAACACCGAGACAACAATTTAATAGTCAGTTACTTTTGTAGGATTCATTATTCAAAACAAAATGAGAATGCTTGCTAAAGATGTCAAGATTAAAATGCATGAACTGTGGCGAATACTCTTTTAAGCACCATAAATAATATAATCTTATATAATCTGAAGACTCGATATGATATATAACACTTTACAAGATCTTCTTAAGTTTTCGTCAATCCATGAATGGTATGAATGTTATTTTTGTTATGGATTCTCAGTTTGGTTTGAAGGTTCCGTTTTTTTCAGTCTTTTTTTCCAGTTCATTGGCAGTGGGCAGCAATCTTTCGCCAAATCAGCTCTAGTACGTCCTGTGATCCACCATGTCTGCATATCCCCTTTTCCCTTGAATAAAGAGACAAAATGTATCACGTTATATAACTGGTTATAACAAGACAAATGTTATTAAAAGTAATCTATGTTGCAGAACTCACTAGAGATAGATATAATCATTCATTAAGTGCTTATTAATGAAGAATTTCTTTTTATGAAGCCGGTTAAAGCCCTTCGAAAAGGAGTTACTATTAGCAAACCGATTCGCATAAGTATTGACAACTTTCAAAGTATCTGTTTACCAATGTTACGCAAGCATAAGGCATAATGAGTTATGTTTGGGATTTTGTTCATCAGTTAATTCGTATTCACTTTTAGAATGAAGTGAGTTGACATGATGAATGATTGTTGTGTTAGATAATACTGTTGATCTAGTAGACTGAAGATTAAACTAATTATGATTTCTAATTTGATCAGCTGTTAAATAATACCATGTTGAATACTTGGATACTGGTTTAAATTATGTGTGCTCACAACTAGTAGAATGTCACACTATAAATACTCGCGTACTCGAATGTAAAATGCTTATTTTGATATTAGTGAGAGTATCCATACCTACCTATCGATATATTTTAAGGTTCCGCATCGAAACATGATTTCTGTAATGGCGATCTGTGTTATAAGTGATCTAACTCCTGAAAACAAATACTAATGATAATAGACACTGCTCTTCATTGTCAATAAAGAAAAGACATTAAGTTTGTATATAAATTCAGAAACGTTTCACTGGTTTCAAATGGCTACTATTAGAGGTTTGATAAGACATAGGGATGCTAACTAGCACAAGTGAATCTTACAATGTGTGTGTGAGGATGCAACCTTCATGAGTTTCTAGGCCTTAAATTATTATTATAAAACACAGAGCATTACTGTATGACACTCGTTTTATAAACATATTGGGCTTGATCATACTACACTTATATGCTAATTTGTCATTAATTTCGTTATGAAAGTTTTTAACTATCATTGAATATTTGAATGTAAAATATTTACCGCGAGAAACAAAATTGAGATGACACTTGATAAATTCCGAGAATGAATTCAAATGTCATAGATCAGTTGAAACATGAATATCGTTCAAAACTGGATATTCGGTGAAAAAATATTCCTTTATATGAGAGGTTAGAAGTTTTCAAAACTAAATTGATAATTCTGTCTTCAACAGGAAAAACAAAGATTTTTTCACGGTGACTAGCGAATTGAAGACGGATGTTAACAAAAACAAACACTGACTACATAACATTTAAAAGAGAATGCCTTGGTAGTTGATATTCTAATTAGGAACTTTGATATGAGACAGATTTACGGAACTACATATCTCATAGCGGGCACTACACCTTTTAATCCACTGGTCCATGTACATAAAGTTAATTTGTTTAACAATATATTACTGATCTATATATGGGTCTCGAGATTATAAATTTTGATTTTCAAGTCGATAAAACGTCATTTCCGATTTAAGAGGATTTTGCGAACAGTGAGGTAATAAATCATCGATGGAACTTGAATTGACCGTTAATGCAAGCTTCGATTATTAGATGGACTGTTGTCGTCAGCATGTGAACAGACGTACCACCATCCAATTCAGTGAGCGTCCCACTAATGGGTCACAAACTGGACGGAAACTTCTCTACAGTTATTTTCATTGATTTATTTGATCCCAATCTATGATAAATAATGGGTTCAAATATTGGCATCACCTAATTCAGTTTTAAAATAACCTGAAGTTCTAAGTAAAATATTACTTCAAAATCCACAGATCCAGTCTTGTGTTCACTAGTGGCATTTCACCACTTGCTTATTGTCATGAAAAAGCCATCACTTATAATTTATTCAACCAAAGTGAATTGTGATTAGTCAAGAAGTACAAAGAGATATATCTGAGATACAACGTATAAGGAACTATTCATATTGTATAAATGACTCAAAAAACTTTATTTTGGCCTATGTCTGGTTCTTTTTAGATATGGCGGATTATCGACTGAAGATTGTATCAGGTAATTAACTGAACCCCAAAGCTATAACAGTGATAGACCGCCCAATCTGATTACTGATATAAACCGACTAGAAAAGAGGAACATTAAAAGCATTTCTTTTATTCTACTTACTTTCACAGTTATTGTACCACGTTTTTCAAAAGTGAAACCACCAAGTCGATCCAATATAGCGTGTGTTGTTTCTGAACAGTGTATTTTGTAAGCTTATCAATATTAAAAAATAAAACGAAATAAGCCTAGTTATGCCGGAAAAATTCTACAAATGAATAAACTTTACAAAATCTAGTGACATATACTTTCTCCAAATAACACACCAATAACATTCATTATCAATAGATTTGGTCTAGCGATCATTATTCCACAGCAAGAAAAAAAAACAAATTACAAGTCTATCATAACTATAATAATCATTTAGTGATTACTTAATTATAAGACCAATTAATTTGATAGTTGTAAACTATGTACACTAAGTCATGTTAGTAAATTCGTAATTTTGAGGCAACTGATGCTTCCTGCAGAATATAAATTAATATCACACTGTGTTATCGTAAAAAATATTACCTTTAACATGTAAGCAGCAATAAATTACATGACAGTAATCAATATCATGTCTGATCTTGTTGCGCACCATGATATCAAGTCACTTAAACCATTTTCCTACGTTACAACATGATCTTTAAAATTAGATCAGTAAGAAAAATATCATTTGGCATTAGCTGCAAATCAATGGTCAGTTAATGTAAATAAATGTATGATCATGTTCGTTCTACCTTGCTAATTGCGATCCACTACCGTATAGAATTTTCTTCTACCACTTACTTACGTAATGTGATATATATATATATATATATATATATATATATATATATATATATATATATATATATATAGGTCGGAGTATCTCAATAGTCAAGTCTTAATTAATTTACGAGTGACTGATTTACAACATGTAATCACGCTTATTTTTGTTTGTATTACTTTATGCATTATAATGTTACTAATGGCCATGAGACGTGGCTTTTAGAAATAGACACTGTTAAGTGATGAACTTTTGACTAAAGATCTCTTTAATTAACTTTGATTCATGTATGTTAAGGTCAGTGAGTGAGCAATGCTGATGTTAGAAGTAAGAAACTATGTAAGCGTAGGAAATTGATTGATGTAGTCGGGAAATAGTTTGCGTATGTCCAACCACTCTTTAATCCAACACATAAATTTTGCAGGTGTAGACATTAAAAAGAAGTTAGGGGGGCCATACCAAAATGTAACATTAGTCCAGGAGGTCATTAACAGCTGGATTTAAGTAGATGAAGAATACTTGGTTAATATCCAGAATATTATGATGACTAATGACTGGAGACATCGGACTGTATTAGTCAGAACCGATCTTAGTGATCCAGATCCATTCACTCTTTGTCTTCCAACAGATTTTCATTTTTGACCTGCGTGCACATGTTTGTTAGAGTATTGGATTTTGTGTGGGATTAACTTATCAGTTTAAGAAAACCAGTCTGACCTCTCAAAAGAATTTTATATGTAGATGCATTTATTCCTTTATTTATGATACTTTGGAAATCACAGTTTCCTTATATCATAATTCACTTAAGAAGATTTTTTATGAGGAGAGAATCCTTCAAGGTATGTTGTTTCTCATACTTATTTTTTCATGATTTACCTATTTAAAGGCATCACTTAGCTGGAATACAATAAATTGAAATAATAAATGTACCTTCGCCAGTACTTTCCATTCGACTTGCTGTGTTGACTGTATCACCAAAAAGACAGTATCTTGGCATTTTCAAACCAACAACACCAGCACACACTGGACCTATAATTATCAAAGATGGAGAATGTTAAATGTTATAGATTAGTATACGTACGACCTAATCATGATTCAAGCAACTGTCAACAAAACAATTTATACAAGGTTTCTGAGACAGCTGTGTGGTTGAAAATAATAAACGGAAACAATGATTAAATTTTCATGTATTTTGAAATTGATAAGTCAAATAGATCGAAAATAACAGTTCTGTTGAAGGTTCAAAATAAAGTCATCATTAAAAAGAATAAGCTTGTGGATCAACTGTTGATCCATTTATTGCTTCCCATGGAATTCACTTAGCTATCACACCATATCTGTCAACAGCTTACTGATTGGCACCTAAACTAATTTTACAATTTCTGTATTGCTGACTTAATTTTTGTTGAAAAAAATTTTTTTAAGACACTTAGTGTAATGTTGGGTTGTTAGAGTAAAGTGATAGAAAATCTGGAGCATCGTATTCCAATTGGCCATGACTGATCTTCATTAAGTTGTAAAGATGCCCTGGTGACTGATCATAGAAAGAACTGAAATTGGATTCGTCATTTTTTGTCATCTATATCCAACCATTCCACCTCAAACAAAGTACCATACCGTACCAAGTCGCATAATTTAGTGGTATATTCACAAATATGACCTTAATATGTCGTTCAAAACAAAGGATCAAATAACAAGATATTGATTGCTAACTACTGATCGACTGGTGTAATGTTCATAGGACAAAATAGTTTTTATCCAAGGTAAACACATTTCGTCGAGAATACACAAACCCTAACTGAACCGTCGATACCTGGTACCTTTATATTCAAACAAGATGTTTTATTCCGAGTAGTTTAATGAATACACTTGTCGTAACGTTGATGTCAAGATTTTCCTCTATTGATTTAACAATTCATAAGTTGCATACTTCTCAAACGATAGATCAAAAGTTTAAAATTAAAACAAACGAAAGCTTTTGACTTAAGACTAGATCGAGGCAATTCACACAGGATGAACAATGAGAAGATAGAAGTAAAACAATACCAAGCAAATTCAAACGAAAGTAGTTTATGTTACTAACTTGACTATGTTTTATCAACAAATTATTTTCTACGCTTTATTTATAATTTTGAGTTAAAAACCTCCTAGTAACCCTTGAAAAACAAGCTACAATGCTAACCCCAACCAAGTGTAATAGTCAAATTCAAGACTGATATCGTTAGGATTATTCAGATAATTTGAAATTATTTTACGAGGAACATGTCGTTTATGTAATAAAACCTATTAAAGTTGGCGTTTTCAATCAAATTCAATATGCTTTCTATACAAATTGAGAAGATTCACTGGGTTCACTCTCTAACATTAAAAATACAAAGTGTCTTTCCAGAGGCTGTATAGCTACAAGGTTTGGTAGTAAGTTTTCACATCGTTTCGAAGATTTCAAAGCGTTTGCATAACTGTTCAATTAAATGACTGTTCTGTATTCATTTAGGATTGAGGCAGCTAGCTAAATAAATAAAATGATAGATTTGTCAGATGGATGTGGCTGAATCCTTGAGTTGGTTTTCACTCCGAAACTCGAACCCACTACCGTTTGTTTAAAAAGGCATTGCGTTATCCACTTAGATACTGTCTCCAGACAGCCACTAGTGTGTGCAATGAAGTAAAGTTTAATTCATTTTTGTATTGATAGTATGAATCTTTTTAATTGATTTTGATCAGTCACTTATTGGCTTATGTACATTCTGTTCGGATTATTTCGATATTGCCTCAACTCGAAAGCATAATAAGCGGGGATGAACATCAACTGTGAGATGCAGGTAAATCCAGCTGACGAAACGCACATCCCATATTCAACTGCTAGCCACCACTCATCTCTGCCTACAATGCTTGTGGCTTCAGGCAATATCGAGGCAATCCGCACAGAATGCACATATTCCAATAAGAGACGGATCGATTACAATTCTGAATACCAGTGGAGAAGATTCAAACAACTAACACAAAAATAACTTGAACTTCAGTAAATCTAAATTCAGATCCCAACTAACAGATGTAAATCTATAGTTCTCTTCATTTCAAGCAGTGAAATGATTCCTGACAAGTGAAAACTGTGAACAGTCCTACTTGTAACACTGATAGAGCAACGCTATTACTTTCATTAATTATTGAAGAATTTCAATATCTTTAGTGAAGTTACTTTGGCATTAATAGGTCACCTCTATTTGCCATGATATCAATGTTCATAAGGCCTTGTAATAAAAACGTTTGTGTAACTGAAATTATATGTACAAATCCATATATTCCCCTATTAAATCATAATTAATCAGGCTAAGAAGTACATTACTGAATCATACTGACCAATAGTAATAAAAGATTGAACTAGAATTTGTTCGGTTTTTTTAGACTTTAGTAGTCCTAAAAATTTACTATATTTTCATCTAAAAAAAATAGATTTGTGATGTATAACACCTACCATATTATTACTTACCTGAATGTAAACCAACTCGAATTTTTAACGGTTCATCAGGTTTGTGAGGAATTACGAAACTGTGTGAAACACTGACTAGATCAAGTGACATATCAGCTATTGCTATCGCGTGACGTTCACCATTTCTTCTTGGAACACCTGATGCAACCATATCTAAAATAATGATGAAAAACAGTGCCTATTCTTTAAACTTGAAAAAGTGACATTCAAGAGATTCTAGAGTAAATTCAAACAGTTGACTATCTATAAAAGTTACTCTGATGAGTTTCAAACGGGTAGATAGAGAACATCTAAGCAAATCTAACCGTCTGATCTTCCGAAGAAAAGATTCATAGTGAATTTATTAATGATAGGTCAGTATGATAATAATTCATATCTGTTTAATAAATGACATTAAAGCGAAAAGATTAATCTGAGGCTTTATTGATCTTATTAATAATTCCTTTTTCTCCTACTTGCCTTCAGTGGTGAAATTCTGTAAATTAGAATGACGAAATCAGTTATCGTAGGTCTCATTTCGTTCACCTTTATGTATCATAATTTATTTGTGCTCAGATTGCAAGTATTTTACTTAAACTATCAATTATATATTAAAATGCTAAGTAAATCTGTAAATCAAGATTGAATCTTCACAGAAATCTAATGACTGACCAACTCTTTGTTCCATAGAACAATAAGCACTTGTTCCATCTTATTTCTCTATTCAACTAATACCTGAATATTCAAACAACACGATTAAAATAAGCAAACACAGTTACTCACGAGACAACTGTCCTGATATTACTAGAGAAGATACTCAACGTCAGTTAACTGAAACCTACCACAGTAACCCTGGAATGGAAAATTTTAAGGCAACATATTAAAAATTCTAGGAAGTGTCAAAGAAATATGACAGATTTCTGTTTGCTTTTTAGATTTCTAACAATTATATACTTAATATGTAGTCAACAATAAAACTGTTACGAAAAATCATTACTTACATGCATCACCAATGGTTTCCACTTTATAAACGTCGTATCGATCAATGATATCATCGAATTGAGTGTACAGTTTGTTTAGAAATTCTACAACCTGGAAATAAGTTTTATTTAACAAACTATATATCTATACATTAATGAAGAAAAGTTGATTTAACAACTTCCCTAACGTATTTCTGAATCAATTTTCACTAAAAATTGACTAAAGATGAGTCAACTAAAATTAAACCATCATGGAAAACCTAAAAGCACTGAATGGTGAGATCGTGGATGAGCACTGCTGAGGAGTACCACAATAGGATGAAACGGTCGTCCAGTGCTTCCAGGTTTTCCATGGTGGTCTAGCTTCAATTGACTCATGATCTCAACCATTAAAATATTAGTAATTTGATGGAAATTTTTGATTTCTATACAATTAAAAGATGGAATATTTCTCAGATATGTCTATTTCGTTATCTGCAATAGCCATAATCATTGGGTTTTTTCATATAATTACAGGTAGTTAATCTAGTAAAACTCCAGTGAGATGAACATTGTGTTTTAATAACAAAATGAAACAGAACTATCGTGTCTATTTAAAACAAGTAAAAATAAATAATCATTGTTTTCATACATAAATCACTGGTTAGATGAATGCAGCTGATGCATAAAGATAGAAGAAAAAACAGGAAAGATCAGTGTATATCGTTCTAAACTACTATTTACAACGTGCTATCAATCTGTAATCCACAATAATACTTGAATATTAATGAAGAAGAATAGTTATGATAAGTTGATCAAGAATTCTTAGCATTAATCACTGGGGTTAGTTTAGTATTAGGTGGTTAAGATAAACTGATTGAATGCTCTAAGTCTATATCTCCCGCTAATTAATACTTTCCAGTCAAGCAATTTTCTCACTTCTCGTCAATTATTTATGAACATTCTTTGTAGAGAGAATACCATTTTCTAGGAGATCTATCTAGTACATTAACAACAATGTTTTTCAAACCCGTAATGTGCATATATAATGAAAGATCCTTGATGGTACTTTACATATGTAAGTTCAACCATTCAAAATTTACCGAAAGCCAATGAAGTTACATACACGAAGATAATTTAAATAACTATTTCTTATAATAATAAATAAATTATTACTTCAAATGGTGTAGAACTTGATGAAATTGTGGTAAAACCGACAATATCACTAAAGTATATTGTACATTGTTCAAATGCTTCAGGCGGTACATTCTCACCATGTCTTAGCATTTCTACAACTTGTTTTGGTAACATACCTAAAGTAAGATAGAAAGTGAAAAAAGTTGTTATAGAAATTAAAAAAGAATTTAAAAATGTGGGAATGTAACCAATCAAGTTAACTAAATAAACTTTAGATACATTATTATTATTATTATTATTATTAATGGCTTTATTCAATATTATATTTTGGTACAATATAGAATTCTCAGCACAGGGTATTTCAACAAGTTACTTACTGAACAACGAACAAAAAGGCAGTAGCGAATACATAAAGAAATATATAAAATAAAAATTTTTAAAAAAAAAACCCAAAAGAAACTACAAACTTTTAAAATTAAAGACATGTTAAGAATGTAAGTTATTGACTAAGTTAATTCTAACAACCTGTTCGTCACAGAGTATATTTGCTAGGTAAGGTATTATAGAACTTTTATACTTTTCCTTGCGTGCAAGGATTTTAATGTAATTACGTCTCGTTCTACCAGAAGATATACAAGGAGAAAGATAAGAGTGAAGGGGATGGCTAGTATCTGATAAAATAACACCTGCCAGGAGTTTGCATGATTTTAAATGTCTGTCCACAACCATATTAATTATGACCTCGAAAGATTCACCACACGTCTTACTAACTGCCTTTAGCACTCTTCGCAATACAGCAAAGTCTTTTCTCAAAAGCCCGGGAAAGAATAATGGAGAACAGTAAAGAATAATAGGTAATATGCAAGAATTGACAAATTGTAAGAGAAAATGACGAGTAATTCCAAGAGCATGCAATCTCTTTATGTAGTAGGTCAGACGGAAAACCTTCTTTGATAACGATAAAACGTGGGAAGACCAAGACAGATCAGAGGAAAAGGTGACACCAAGATAATTGACCTTCGACACCGCGTTTATCAAAGAGTCTCCGATGGTACAAGCACTACATAAGCTAAGATGGATAGTTGCTAGCAGTGGAATCCAGAACGCGCGTTTGCTTATAACGCTTGTGAATTAAGGCAATATTGAGGCAATACGCGCAGTACAGACATACGCCAATAAGAGACTGATCAATTGTAGTCCTAATCATCAATGGGAAGATTTAAGTAACACAAAACCAAGTGAATTTAAGCTTTAGATAAGTTAGTAGAATAATTTAAGAACTTGAAGTATACAACACTGTGAACATTAAGAACGTTTTATATAAAGATATATTGATCAGTAAGATCAAATAATACACATATTCTTAAATAATGTTATAAGAAGATGCTTATCGAACTCCTGGGTAGATTAACTGTCAATACAATATGCTATTAAACAGACAAGAAGGATTACATTTATTTGTATGGAGGTTTCAACAAATCTAAATGTTTGCTTTGAACCATTATAACGAAGATTATTTCTATAAATTAACCCAATTTCAGCAACTGTGCTCTAATTACACATAAAAGTAATCGGTAAATGTAACCGTTCAGAATCCATACTTGTGCTTTAAAGAACTTGGAATAATAAATATTTCGCTCAGTTGCAATATATTCTGTAACATTCTAGACCAAGAACAATATCATTATTTTATACTACATTTAAGGTAAATGAATCCCCTTAATATGTAACTGTGAAATAATTAGGTTTTCATTTACCTTACATCATACAAAACATTGTAAACTGCAAGTATTTAATGGTAAGCAAAAGTGACAATTAGGTTGTGCCAATATTCAAACAATGACAACTGCATGGTAAAACAGGTTATTAATTTATTAATGGCTTCATTAAATATTATGTTTTTGGTACATTATAGAATTCTCAGCACAAAGTATTTCAGCGAGTTTTCATTTCTTAGTTCTTGATCGATATTGACGATAAAGACTGAGTGGTAAGTAGTTAGATGTTAGCAGTTCAGGAATAGACATCTTATTAATGTATATTCTTTTCGATGCATATTTCCAGCAACCGCGATGTCTCTGATTGAGCTTTTTTGTAACTTGTACAGCGAAATGTGGTAAACATTTCACAAACGTACCTGAATAGGTTATGAGACTAATAGGCATAATGATATGTTAAAAATAACAAGAAAACAGATAACTTGTTGAAATAATCAGATGGTAGGGACAGGTAGCTCAGATATTTAATCAGGCCGCCTTGATCGAACCATGTTGTATTGAAAATTGATACCATATCTTTATAGATAATTAGGACTTTATTTTACCATTACGATGCATGACAGTAGAATTAAGCATAGTAAACGATAGACTATTAAATTCTACAAATATAAATGTTTTTAACAGTAATTTGATCAAACATTTTAATGGAGAACACTTAAGTAAAATGAATAATTCAGTTAAAACTTTGTAGATTATAAACTTCTATTGATCTATGAATCATTAACTTTCATGGTCAGTCTTTAACTTCCATCTAAGTACAGTCTCAGAGAAGCTTCATTGCAATTATATATTGGATAGTCCCATTCGTGAATATTCAGTCCTTGATTTCAATAACATCACAAAAGTTAACAAAGCTTATCATATTTGAATTTTGAATGGTATAAAAAATTTACATGATTTATGTCTATAGTTTATGTACAATTAAATAATAAATTATCATATGGACATAGTCTCCATTGGATATACATGTATATATTAGCCCCCAAAACAAATGTTCAACCTACTGTTAAGTAAAGTGTCTGCCATTTTTTGTTCACTACGAAGTGCTTGTGTTCTATCTTCAATAATAGATTCAAGACATTTAGCATATTCTTTCGTCTTAAATTAAAGGAAGCAAACATGAGTAGTTAGAAAATTTAACACAAAGAGGAAAGCAATTATTTTTGGTACAGGGGGCTTTATGAATACTGAAGATATTTCACAGCTTACATAACAATGATTGAAATCTAGGAAGCACTGTAAACCGTGAAAACGTGATAATCTCCACAGACCCCCTACACCAACTCTCTAGCGATTACTTTTAGAAGTTAATTCAATGAATTTCAGTTAAAACCCGTAACCACTAGAAATAAATTATTTCAGGTGCGAAACGATTATTCATCGAAGACAATGGAAGATAGTAGTATGATATCGCAAAAACTATTGAACTTAAACATATAGACCACTAGATGCCAGATTATTGGTCTAAAGGTTAAGCGCTCTCCTCAATATTTGAATTTTCTAGGTTTTGTTCTCTGTGGGGTCGTGAATGTACACTACTAGGGCACCCCATACTAAAGTGAAACAGTTGTTCAGTGCTTCCTATGCATAATACTTATCTAACGACATTTAGTCCATGATAAAATTCATAAAAATAGTTGTTTTATCAAGTTACATAATTTTTTTGTGAAATGGTACTCATCAGTACTATTGTATTCACTCTTACAATGTAGGCTTAATAATAGTTCAATGTCCATTTGTGTTGTATAAAGTTTCATATGTCTTAATATCGTTCATCTTAGTTTAGTTTGTATGATGGTAAATGTCGGTGATTTCATTATGTTCACTTATAAATTCTATCATCTGTATAATTGATCAAATTATTTAAAATATTTGAATTCTATGGCGCTGGTGTTATGGAAATAACAGACGTATTTGTCAAATGATAAATCTATGCACAATTTTTATTTTGTTTAAAACAACTTAAGTAACAAAATTGTCAAATGCATATTGTCATTTGATCTATGTAAGACCATAGATTCACATTGATGATGCGATTCATATAAGGACAGAACAACTGTCTAATGGTGAACTTTTTCTTAAATACTTTTTGTATGGTATTAGTTCACTATAAAAGGTAACCCTAAAATTATAGATCAGTTAGTTTGTCATATGAGTGAATAACACTGTGTTTGGTAATAAGAGAATTTCAAAATATGACATATTATGGTGTATGCTACTTATACCGACAGATATCAATATTATGTAGCATCAGTAGGGAGTGGAATACTTGACAGAGGTAGATTGAAATGAAGAGAATTGGCAGAAAAATTGGAGAGTAATCGAAATAACAACAGAATTAGCGGAATAATAGAGTATCTAAAGTACGAAACAAAAAACGATGTGCAAATGGTTTGTTTAATGTATGATTTTTGTATTTTACTAACCCATCGTTTGATCTTACGTAAAACAATAAATCGGTTTATAATACCTAAGTGATCATTTACTACAATACTACTTAAAATAATGCTTAGAATTTTTAGACTCTGAACCCCACAGAATCTAATATTCCTGTCGTGAAACGTAGTAGTGTGCTGCATTATTTTAAACCCTTTCTTTAAACAATCTGCCTTATGGTTAAGTTTTAAAATGACTGTGACAAGCGCTTGAACTCTCTAATAATAACAATTATTGAAAAATTAAGATATACTGTTTATTTGTAAAGTGATAAAATCAACAATAACATTATAATCCACTTATAACAGGCAAATGATACTACTTACAAGTATTGTATCTTCATCAACTCCAATATTCCTTGGATTAATCTTTGTCAACCATTCTATAATTGCATTTAAGTTTGGTCTAAGTGTATTTTCACTCCAACAAGATTCCATCAACTAATGTAAGACAAGTTAAACAATAATCACATGATTATTATATGAAATCAATTAAGTGATAGTGTAGTGAACGAGAACTCTGGTGGATGCAAAATCACAAAGTGAAAATAATACATCGATTACATCATTTGCACAACTACTTTGAATTGTTTTTTACCAAATTCATTGTTTATTAGTCCCTGTTGTTATCTTGATTGCTATTAGTTTCGTTCTCTCTTCTGTTCATTTTAATCTCCTCAACCTTCTGTTCACAGACATTCCACTTCCGACTGGTGTTACATACTACTTATATCTGCAAACATAAGTAATATACACCACAATGGCCCATACTGGAAAGTGATGTTTTTCTGTTTGCTTTAAATACTATTCGTTCTTTCTTGCAAATCGCACAACAGGACTTGTAAAACGTTGGACGCTATATGCGCATAAGTTCTAAGCAACAAAGTAATTGGAGCTAGTTAAACACAATACTTATAGATTGTTAAAATATCTCGAACTGTTCTAGTGACTGATATTTTATGAATCTTTGAGACAAACCTGTGTGGAACTTACAACACTCACTCAATAATAAAACATTTCGCTGTCAAAAAAGTAATCACAAACTCAGATTAGAAGTTTAGTTGATTCAAACCAGGAGACTTTATGGAACTACTGATTCTATATGACATTCTCGTCAGGACAGGCGGTGGTATGTGCTATGATTATTGATATTCATAAATAAACTGAAACTTAAGAAATTAAGGTCTCCAAAAAACAAGATATTGCCCAGAAAGTCATCAGACTCCCAATGATACATTTTCGTCAGGCTAGTTTGTTCTGTTAACAAGTTACTAATACGCGTATTCAAAAATGGAACAGTTTAAATTGCGTTAGCTTAGAAGTTTTCTTAAGGCAAGTGAAATACAAATATTGGGGGAAATATTAGATCGTAATCGGAGAGATAAACAATTAGGTAAGTTGCTACATCTTGAAATGATTTTCATCATAACATACTCGACCTGTAAACCACAATTCCTATCATAATTTTTCTACCTCTTGTTTTGTATATCATCTATAGCCGAGCATTCTAAACGTGACCAATGTTACGTTCTGACTAACACCATTAATAATAGGTCGAGATGAGCTACACTCCTATCGATCTACTTATCGCAACCCTACTTCCATTCCATACTTGGATTCAAAGAGAAATTCGCACATCACCTAGAAGAATAAATCATGCAATAAGCAGAATCATATCACAAGTGTCAGAGAGCAAAGTAAACGGTATTAATGATTCAGCATACATTAAGATATAGTAAAATATATAATGTTCATTCAAGGGAACGTAACTTGTGGCGCCAATCTTCAAATTGTCACATTCTTTCAATGAAACCGTCTGTTCATGAAATTTTCCTTGATTTTATCAAAAGAAATCAAATTTTCGTGTCAACATCCATTAAAGTGCAAAACCGTAGTGTAAGCATAGAAAAGTTACACCTTTTGCGGAAATAATTTTTCCAGAATTATTTGACTTAAAACTCACATTGTTGTATTCTTCAAAAGGCGGTACTGTTGCAACCTCGTATTTAACATCAGTTTCAAAACGTCTTTTAGTCGGCAATTCCGGGTGATTATACATTGGGTCTGCCACAAATTCGTCATCCTAATTTAGCAAATAAAAAATAATAAATGCTGATTTAGAGGACAAACATGTTAACTTAAGTGTGAAAAATTATCATAATTAATATTTTTATTCACCCTCTTAGACAATATTTTGCAACCCATTTTAGGTAGTTTGCTGCTGCTGTTGTACTTCTAATTCTGCAGTTCAATGAAAAGGTGTTCACTGCATTCACATCTTCAAGGCCTAATGAATGACCAAATAATGATAATCATCTCGTGCGTAGATTGCACTTATTCAACATTGAAAGTTGTTTTCAATCATGAAAAATCATTTTGGCATTTTATTTTACAAGTCCTTGGATTTAATCGACTGGAAAATCACAATGTATTACTTTAAGTTAGTCTCCTTACTACTTATCTTATAAACAACGACTGCCACATAAATAATTTTAAAACTAACTTGAGACGGATCACTACGACTTGCCGTTTCCCACATGATTGTACCAAAGCTGTATATGTCTACTGCTGGCACGAATAATGTTTCTTTATAATCTAAGAAAAAAAAATTGGAAATAGATTTATTTAACTGATGCTAACTGGATGCATTTTCAACAATGGAATTAAAATCATTAACATCAGACATTAAGTTAAATGTCATGATCAATATAGGCTTATCATTGAAAGAAAGAAAGAAATAAAGACTTCGTTACATTAACAACACTTCTTACAATGTCTAATTAAGTTTTCAAAATTGGATGAAAACAAAGTGTTTAGGATACAAATATACCATGATTTACAATGTGTAATGCTAACTGATCAGGGTTTGACATGAATAAAGTTTCAAATGATATCTAGGTGTGTTGTGCGAGCTGACCAACTTCTTGAAACAATTATCATAACTAAGATGAGTGGATAACAATAGTGGTATTAGATCACTGAGCTTTATTCGATATGCAGACGATTGAAGGTTAAATGAATACGTATCGAAAATTTTATAATCAAATTTGCGAAATTTCACTTAACTAAAAAGTTATATGGAGCTGATTAGCATGTTCAGCAAGCAATTCTTAGTTCAATACCAATAGCTGAGCCTTATTTCTATTCGATTCAAGTGTTCATCCTTTCATAGTATCTGTGTTTTTGACAAACAAGATTTATTTAACTACCCTATGATGGATGAAATGCGATTTTTTATACGCTTTAATTCCGGATTTTAACACTCATTTCTATTTGAACGATATCATTTAACGTATCTGTACAATCATATTCACAACTATTTACCATAAATAAGTGTATAATAAGATAGAATCATAAGTATTATTCATTATGAAAAAGCAATTAAATACTGTAAAACAATGAAGGGCTAATAGGGTACAGATGGAAGAAAATTGTGAACTTAAAGAATAATAAGTGTTGGAAAATACCTATTCATTACTCATATAGATTAATAAATAAGGTGTTACAAAATAATGATACTTAATGTAATTATATACATAACCCAAAAGATCAAAATACATAGCATTCAGTTATCCCGCCTTTCAATTTATCAAGGAGAGTATTATAGTTCAAAGATATGAATTACTGTTTTAATGTAAATGAGCTAAGTTCATTTGCTACAAAATAGTAACAATGAGGATAGACTTATTTATGTATGACCTCCAAAATAAACTAGTGTCATAATAAATTAAAACTTTTTGAACATACCCTTACTTTAACTTTCCTGAGAAATAAGAAATTAAAATTCCGCAAAAATTAACCAATAAAGCACATTCCAGCAGTAATGATTTCCGTAGATTTAGTCAAACTGTTATCATATTTCAGTAGTTGAGATCATGAGTCAATTGAAGCTAGATCACCACGGAAAACCTGGAAGCAGTGTACGACCGTTTCATCCTATTGTGGGACTCCAGCAGTGCTCATCCACGATCTCGCCTTGCGGGATTCGATCACATGACCTATCAGTCTCGTGTGCGAGCGCCTAACCAGTAGACCACTGAGATAGCCAGCATCCAACGGTGTTAATGTCTAACTTCAACCAATCCACAAAACTGAGCGACACATTCGCCATTGTCATCAGTGAGTTACTATCTCACAACCGACCCGGTTGAACTTCACTGGTCACTGCTTCTCACTAGAACTCCAGGATATACCTCTTGAAGACAGTCACTGGTGAGTATATGTTGATTAGTATCAGAAGGGTTTTGTGGAGATTGTAGTAATTTCAGTAGTTGAGATCATGAGTCAATTAAAGTTAGACCATCATGGAAAACCTGGAATCACTGGATGGCCGTTTCCTCCTATTGTGATACTCCACAGCAATAGGTATCCACGACCCCGCAATACCATATTGTTAAAGATATTATTAAAAATACTATAAAACCTTCATAAATTTAACGCTTACCTCTATATTCAGGTGGAATATATGGTAAATTTTCTGGTTTATCTAAAAACGTTTTATGTTTTTCAAAATCATTTGACCAAATTAAATTATCTAATCCATAATCAGTTATTTTACATGTCCATTTATCACTAACCACACAATTTGATGAATTCAATCGACCATGTACAATTTGACAATGATGTAAATAAGCTAAGCCATTTGCAAGACCAGTTAAAAAACCTATTCTATTCAAAGAAATATATAGGAAAAAAGATTATACTAAATTCATTTTCAACAAAATACATATTTCTATAATTATATTTCGATAACTTTTACTTCAAAGGACCAAAAGTCACCTGTAGACGTAGCCTTCATTGATTTTAGCAAAGCTTTTGACAAAGTTCCGCACAACCGGCTGTTATTTAAGATAAGAAATGTCGGGATTGGAGGCAATCTATTTATGTAGATAAAAGACTTCTTAGTTGAGCGTCAACAAAGAGTACGGGTGAACTCAAGGTTATCTAGCTGGGGAACTGTGCTTAGTGGAGTGCCCCAGGGTACAGTTTTGGGGCCATTGCTATTCCTCTTGTATGTAAATGACCTTCCTCGTCTCCTATCATCATCGGTCTTGCTATATGCTGACGATGTCAAGATATGGAGAACGATACGATGTGAGGGTGATAGCTAAGAACTCCAAAATGACCTGAAGAAATTATGTGAATGATCTCAAACCTGGCAGTTGCCGATAAATACTTCCAAGTGTGTTGTGATGCATATCGGTCATCAAGGTACAGATACATACACGATGAATAACACTGAGCTACCTGTCGTCCAGACATATAATGACTTAGGAGTCATCGTTAGCCAAGACCTAAAGACTACTGCACACTGCCGTGCAATAGCCGCCAAAGGTTTTAGAACGTTACGGTTAATACGTAGGGCTTTTAATCATTTCGACGCTAAGACGTTTTTGACTTTGTATACAGTGTTCGTACGTCCTAAACTTGAGTACTGCATACAAGCGGCTAGCCCCTGCTTGAAAAAGACAGTGAGCTTCTGGAAAAGGTTCAGAGAACGGCAACTAAGCTGATTCCCGGAATAGCGAAGCTTCCGTATGAAGCCCTACTGGCCAAGCTGAACCATTTCTCGTTGTCATATCGCAGAGCTAGAGGCGACTTGACAACAGTTTTCAAATTACTTAGTGATAAATTTGCACCTGATATGCCCTAATTTTTCTTGTCTTCCAAAACAGAGAATTTACGAGGACACTTCAAAAAAGTTCACAAGCCCAGAACAAATTACTTGTCAGCTGAATACCGACTTTCCCATTGAATCATCAACGAGTGGAACTCATTACTTCAGCACGTAGTTAAGGCTCCATCAGTCGACTCTTTCAAAAGAAAGTTGAATCAACTGAGAGACCACCATTACCAGGACTAACACAGGCCATCAAGCCGCCTATCCTTCTCAAAGTGAAACTGAATGTTACTTAACATTGATATTAGTTGATTTTTAATACCCAAAATCCAAGATTCTGTTTATGCAAAACAGTTCATGCAATTGTTAGAATTCATATGAAAGTTCATCGTTATATTTCTTCATTCAAGATAGTGACTAATCTAGAAGTGTAAGTCAATGATGAATTGAATTCTCTATCGAATATTAAATGTTGAATTTCCGAACTAATGAGCTTCTTCATGAAAAGCATAAATTGTTCGCTTTGCTCCTGAAAAATTCATCATCTAAGATATAATTTGCAATCATTCAAGATTTTTTTAAAATTTGACTTTTGTGGTAAATATCTTTATATTCAGAATATGTCAGACAGTCATAGTTAATAATGTTGCACTACTCTAAATAATATTGGCTCGTATCAGTTATTAATAAATGTTATGTAATAATAAACTAGAGATGCGCCATAGTAACTAAGTTCTATATTATTCTACTCTTGTGAGACTAATCAAAAATATATCCTGTGTACTGTACGCTTACCTTAAACTCCAACTTAGCGGGATAGAATCACGTCGAAGTACGTAACATAAACTTCCTCTATCACAAAACTCTGTATACAATGATAAGACAGGTGATATAAATGTGACCCCAATGAGCTTCACTAAATTATTATGTTTCATTTTCCTGTAAAATACATGAGAAAAAATTCAACTTGGTAACATTAGTAAAAATCTTTAACTGTTTGCCTCAATAAAAGACATCAAGAAGACAGAGTTTGCTTAGTTTATCAGAGTTTCGAGTATAGAGTACTCTACGGTTTATTCCTCTTCAGTGCATCAGTTCAACAATGTAGTTCCAACAATATGCAACATGACATATCATTGTACTACACTGTTTGGTATATTACTTGTTTGGAATATAAATATCTGGTTTTTTTAATAGTTTTACAGCGTTCACCAAGAAAAGATCATGAGTCAAATCAGCTAACATTGATAAATAAGGTTATTCAAGAGTCTGAAAATAGTTTACTTTGAGTAACTCGGTAAGAACTCATTAAAGTAGTATGTAAACTCTAATGAAAATGCACAAGCTAGGACGAAACAGCTACTGAAGGAATTTTGGTTTACTAGTGATCCCTAGTTGATTTGTAAAGTTAATCTCAACCTGAAAACCTTCTACACGTACTTAAGCCTATGAAGAAGGGAAGAAAAAATCTTAATGTCACCACTTTTGGATATCGTATGCAGTAAAATCAGCCACTTGACATCGAATGAGATAAGTCAAAATTATAATCTGCTGCTTATATGTCATTTACAATAGATCGAATTTCGATTTCATTATTAGTAGGTCGAGTTTTGTTGTTGTTATGATTACGTTATTGTTATATATGATTACGTGAAACAAGATCTAATGGTGGCTTTTTTAATTATTTTGAAGATGATCTCCATGGTGAAGTGACATCAACCCCATAACCAAAGTGCATTAAACAGTTGTCTATTGCAGTATGAAGCTTACTAAAAGCGTTTATCCATGACTTTACACAAGATCAAACTGAAAGCCTTCAGGTTTTGACACCAGACCAATAAACATGGACCATGTGATCGATAATTTTAAATCCAGCATAATTATAAAGAATAATCGTGTTTTTCTGTTATTATAACTTACTTAACTTCCCATAGTTGTCTTTGCATATCGCTTGTTAACTCAGTAAATTCTACATAGACTTGTTTCATTGCTACTGGAACGCAGTCACTAAAAATTTTAAAAAGTACAAATTTGAGTGTTTTTTATTACCCATTCAACATTGATAAAACAAAACTCTTTAATTATCGACTACTAGATAAACGTTACTTTCTTGTCTGTACACAACATTTACTTCCATCAAACTAAGGATAATCAAGGTCAGCAGACAGTGATTTATTACTGAAACATTTTCAAACTGTTAAAACCTCCAGCGAAGATTAATCTTCTTGCTCGTCTAGTCATACCGAAACGTGCAGTAATATCCACGAATTCCGAATGAATTTAAGATCAATAACTTGTATACGAAATTCATTGAACAGTAATAACTATTAGTTTAGACGAAGTAAACAAACTAAGAGGAAGAACCTAATTTTTAATCAAGAATCTGTAACCAGTTGTTATTTCACCTAAGAGAAGGATTGTTAATTGATCATGATTCACTAACACAACAAAATAATTTCTGAACTTCTGCAAAACTCCGTAAAATATTTTTGTAATATGATCAGGTTGCGAATCAAACTAGGACCATCTAATCATACTGTGAATGTTCAGATTGAACACCTTAATGTTTATCAACCTATTATTCTACTCAACAGACAACAATTTCTCTCGGATGTTGGATAAATAACATCATGATAGTTGATATTGTTTAATTTTCCGCTAGCTTTATGATCAGTACAAGTGGCTCTCCTTAAGGACAGTTACCTTATAAAATTATCTTGATAACTGTGTTCTTGTTATTAGTTATTATTTAATATTATGCCATAATATAATCTTTGTAACTGAATGAAATGGACGAATTAAATTGTAAGGTATAATAATAAGTTATTGTGTCCTCTTAGGGTACAAAGATCACTAGAACGTTCTTCACATGCATAATTCATACATGAAATTTTGTCTTGAAGAGATTCATTCTATGACTAGTAAATTGAGATAACTAATTTCTAAGTTGTATGTCAGCGATCAAGGTTGTAATGTCTTCAAAATATAGATTTAATTGAAGTTGTCAATACTGATTATTTTATAACCAGATTCCAGCGGAGGAAGAAGCGCTGGAAGTGGATAGAACACACACTGAGGAAAGCACTCAACTGCGCTACAAGTCAAGCCCTCAAACGGAATCCTTAAGGCCAAAGGAGAAGAGAAAGATCAAAGCACACATCACGCCGAGATATGGAGACAGACATGAGAAGAATGAACTACAATTGGATAGGACTAGAAAGAAAGGCCCAGAACAGAGTGGGTTGGAGAGTGCTGGTAGGTAGCCTATGGTTCATTGGGAGTAATAGGCGTAAGTAAGTAATGCCTTTGAAATTTTAAAAAAAGTTATTTCTACCATACTACATTAATTCTTAATTCATGTATAGGTTTCATGCAATAATTATAAAAATATTTACCTCGCTAAACTTCATGAGATTTGTTGAAAGTAACTTACATCATCTTAAGCGAACAGTTTGTTGAACGGGATAGAAACATTTTAATCCACCTGTCCTCTGGATCAACTAAAATAATTGTAATTAATAAAAGTTATTACAGATCTCGATCTGATTAAACGAATCAATATCAAACACGCATTATTCTATGTTGGATTGTATATATTAACTTATATAAATAAGCGAGTGGTTGGACAGACTAAGAAATATACAGAAAACCTTAAAATTCCTGTAATTGACTTGTATATAAACCAATAAAGGTCAATGATGACCACATTTTGCTTGAAAACTTTTTCCTGAACTAAATGTTAGGTATACATCATAGAAGAGCGGCAATAAACAGACACATACTAGTGTGAGAATAACTTTTCGTTATGTTGCTCAAATCAAACTAATATAAATCATTCTAAAATCCCACCATAATGTGCTTTAAAATGTTTGAAACATGGTCGGATCGTCTAAACAATAGTTAAGAACTCATGTATACCTTAACGTTTCTCATCTTTCATTAAAATAAAGTCTCCCTTTAGACAGAGCTAAAACAACAAGGTTTGCACAGTAAAAATAATTCCTTAGTCTGTTTCATTGTTTCTCATCACATGTATACAACTTGAAATTACAATCACTAATATAGATATAATTAATAATAAATGTTTAGCACACTTTAGTTTGTGTAGTTTAGATAAATATTCGAAACGTAATCGAAATCATAAGAATCAGAAAAATAGGTATACAAAGCTATGGTCTATATATATTTATAAGTTGGAAAGCAGTAATTCAGAGGATATGTAAAGGTAATGAAATTTATTAAGTGATTGGGTAATCGCTCAACATGATAAAGTAAACAAATATATGAACATCAATCACATAATGTAAGAGATGAAAATCAGAAGGCTAAAGAATAATGAACATACAAGGCTTAGGAACAGACATTATAAGCTGAGATGACGGTGGCGAGTAGAGGAATTCACGTCTCATCCTATTTGGGACAGGTTGGCTGGATGCACCTGAATCTCTGAGTTGATGCTCACTCCGAGACTCGAACCCACTACCGTTTTTTTCAAACGCCATTTCGTTATCCACTTAGCTATTCAGTCAAGACAGCTTGTTTAATAGGGTGAAGTTTAATTCATTTTGTATTAGTTGCTTGAATCTTCCTAGTTGGTATTTAGGACTGCGACTGATCAGTCACTTATTGGCATATGTGTATCCTGTGCAGATTGCCTCGTCATTGCCTTAATTGAATATCAATCTTGGAATGCAGGTACATCTAACTGACGAGCCCCAAATAGGACAAAACTTGCGTCCTGTATTCCGCTACTAGCCACCATCATCTCAGCTTATAATAATTGTTCCTTTATTGAACAAAATTTCTCCATCCTTTATGTACTATTATATATATATACGAGAATTCAGTCTAATGAGTTCAAAAAAATTTTTTATTTGAATTTCAGAATTCCTCGTGATCAGCCCTTCTTAAATACTGTAGAGACTTGATTTAATAAAGATTTTGTTATCGAATTCTGAATGAAATTCTGTCAAAAATAGTTTCTCAAATAACACTGTTTCCTGAAAAGTACTTTTTTAAGCTCATCTTCAATTTCAGCATCCAAAATTATCCGTTTTATTGCAAATTAACTCATTATTATGATATTTACTTACTATCACAAATTTTATCTGGATTGAGTACCCAAGTTTCTTCGATTTCCTTGTTTGTTTTATGTTTTCTTATAAACTGTTTCGTGATAAATAGAGCAGTTATGAAAATACAAATAATGAAATGCAATGAAACTACTGATTCATGGATTATGTAATCAGAATTCAAAGCTTATTTTGTGAGGATGTAATCAAATTTAAAGTGCATTTCATCACCAATAGACGTCAGCTGGAAAAATCATTCAACTTCAGAGAGCATTATTCCTCACATAGAATCGCAATCATAAATGTCAGGTCTGATGATAAGCTTAAGAATTGATGTTATAGTAGAAAGTTCAGATAAATGGAGTCAATAAAACTGTTAGCGAAATCGATAATCATAGTTAATCTTTTATGAGAACCATTTTATATCACAGTATGACATCGGATGAAACTGTGAACTATTCACTCTAATGTATCTCACCAGCTGCGAAATTTATAGGTCCCAAGTCTAATCATTTCAGAACTATCTCCTCAATAACCTAGGTTTGATATATCTGCTGGATTAATACAAGGACTATTCAGTCACGCATTGTGTTACTTTCAAACAGTGAGTATTTGTGGACAGCAATCAGCCTCATAATTTGTACTACTAAACAAAACATAAAAACAATGAAATGAAACAGTAAGAATACAGTAATAATAGTAACAATAAGAATACATTGTATATTTGGTCTTGTATCATTCAAGCAGAATTCATAAATCAATCAACTGATTATTTTCAGAATCAAACTTTCTGGGTATTTTCTTCCTAATTAGATGAGGTCATTTTCACTGACAGTATACATACAAAATCATTCTAAATGAACATTGGTATAGTTAGTTACGATAAGGTATAAAACAAATGATTAAGTGACATAAGCATATGTAATTATAATGACTTACATAGTACAATAAGATAAATCCAATAACCAGCAGTAATAAACAAGCCAATACGATTAAAACTATTTCCACTACTTCTAGCGATTGATTTTCTTGTAATGTACGGTAAATGTCTGCAAATAAACAATGGAAGCGTTTGTTAAACTACTAATTCATCTGACACATATTAACTACGTTGGACAGAAAATACAAAAGAACTGGCTTATAATGATAAATAACCCTCATCTATTATATATAGTACACTTTTCATACAGTTTCATATTTAGATGGTTTAAGAAAGTTCATTATGAATACAATGTTTGTTAGCAGTTTAGATCAGTGTTGTTTGTTCTTCAATGGCTCTCCAACTATTATGATTTAATAACAAAAACTCTACATAAATAAAAGTCGTTTTAATATTACATCACCAAGTAGGATTCCTGTGATCTACAATGGTAACTTCAAAAAATCTAATATTACAGTGAAGTAATCAACCAATCTGTTCTCACTGTTTAACTCCAAACAATGAACCGGTTATAACTTCATACAGATAGATGTAATTGTGTATTGAAATATTTCATAATTACGATGAATAAAATGTCAGTAGATGAACAGAAATACGTCGTAATCATCCGTCTAAAAGCAAACTGTCTAAAGTAAACATGATCAATAACTTTTGGTCAAAACTTGTTACACATTAATATATAGACAGTTATAGTATTCAGCTTATTATAAGATTATCCATTTGAATAAAGCGTATAAATATATACATGTATTATCGGCATAATTTCTAAATTTCATAAAATACCTGGACCTGTAATTGTTACTCTTTTTACCAAAATACTTTGAAATCTTCCAACCAGTATTCGAACAAGTAATAAATAAATTCCTGGTTGTGTAACATCTAGAATAGAGAACATACGAATGTAAAAAAAAGGGTTGCAACTTATTAACACAAATATGATGATTAGGTGGAGAAATGACATTGTTTTATCTTAGAAAATGTATATTAATGCAATCGCGTGAAAATAATGTGAATGGTTTAGAAGAATGATACGATTTGATCTTTTGATATTCACAAATGAGCACATGTGATACAGCCCTAAAGCTTTGAGAAAATCTACTTGAAAGTTTGGTAAAACTACTCAGAAATGAAATAAGAATATTTTATCATTGTACCTATAAAGCCTTACTAATCTAGAAAATTAATATTATTAATAAATGTGCCAATGTTCTTCAATGTGTCTTTTGTTTTATTAATGAGCAAATACCTAGTGAGATGTACTATTGTTGAAACATTACAACTTGGATTGATCCGATTTTGATCCGATTTAAAACAATGAACTTAGATTGTGCATGGACGATTATAACAAAAATGTTGTGGGTCAATAACCAGTATTTAGCAAAAAAAATGCTTGTAATTCTTAGGGCTAATCATGATTTCAGTTTTGTCGTCCTCATGTAAAAATGATTATCAAGTCGTAGATATTTATTCAGGGTCATTTTATGTGATTCCCTTATTTCCATTTCTTTGAAAATCAGTGGAAATTACGATTCAGTCATTCTGAAAATTGAATGTCCAGATGATTTGGATCATGAGGAGCGCAAATTAATAATGTATGCACTGTAGTGGTGTTAGTAATCCATCGTTTTTTTAGGAATTAAACTTTGTGTACAAAGCGACGAGTGCAAGCCTTCATTCTCCCATGGTCCTAACGCTTAATTTTCACAAAAGATAATTTCATTGTTGATTCATCCTTCTGATATTTCATATATTTTTAACTTTAAGTATTCGTTATTATCATCTTAACGTTTCCAATGTTTTAATCACCCTTCTCATACTCGTCAAGTGGACAGTTATCTTTCACACATTCGATTTGATCTTATTATCTTTCTTCAAATTCTCATTTGATAAACGACTTTCTCTGATAGTTAAATTCATGAGTCGATATAAGCTAGACTACCATGGAAAACTTGGAAGCACTGGACGGATGTCTCGTTCTATTATGGGACTCCTCAGTAGTACGTATCCACGATCCCGCCTCACGAGGTTCGAACCCAGAACCTAACAGTCTCGTGCGCGAGCGCTTAATCACTAGACCACTGAGTTGGCATCCAACGGTGTTAGTGTCTAACTTCAACCAATCCATTACTATAATATCCACAAAAACCCTTCTCTCACTTTGACACACAACGGGATGTAACCTTACACCAGTTTCTTAAAGATTATTTGATTTGTTAATTAACTATGAATACGATTGTACAGTTTAAGTATATAATAGCGTCAGGAAAAGAATTTTCTTCACTAAATTACCTTGAATTTTTGTACTAAGGGATCTATTTGTAATGAAGTTTTAGGTGTATGAAATAAGCTAAGAATTTGCATGAATGCTGTATAATTGTTCATTCTTATGAAGTGTTTATTTATCTTGATCCATGCATTTATTCTATACTGACCTAATCATTTGGACTGATTGTTAACGTCAAGGAAAACTTCATGTTCACCTTAATATAAAAAGTGATTCATTTGTTTTATGGTAACCGACATTTACAATTTTAATTTGCGAATTCTTCTGCATTGTATATTTGCTTAAATTTTTTTCGAACTTTACTCATAGATTTGTCCTTGTCCGTCATTCAACAGAATAAGTAACGGTTTCCTCAGAATTCACTAATATAAAACTAAGGATTGTGCTTGTATAATACATCAAGTGAAAAGCTTGCCAGAAGAGAACTAACTGGAGTGCATCTGCAGTTGAAGTTACCTTGACATTAATCAATGTTGTAGAAGCCTTTTTTAACTATATACATTAAACTATAGATATATTGCAATGGAAATAAAGATTATGAGGAAACTGCTGAAGTAATTTTGTTGATTATTTCTTGATTGACCTGAGTATCTATTTTAATAAAGAAATCTAAGAGTGATTATCTTCGTTTAAATTATTAACTTGTGATTAATACGCAATAATGAATGAAGTGCTAATTACTATTACTTTTATTGATAATCCTTTCATGAAGCTGACTGATTACCTCGTAATCGACGTATACTAAGTCAAATTGATGGTGTTATAACTTGTGGCCTTGTAGCCCTGTTAACATATAACGTAATGATATCACCAATTAGCGAACAGTAACTTATCGACCGAATCAATGACGCGTAAACCAGTACGAGCAGTTTAGAGTCTTTATCGGTGCTTCATTTTGCCTAACCCTGCCCGTTAAATCCAGAACATCAATCTCAACCTCCGTGATATGAATCATGTATTTCAAACATACTGGGTTTATATACCAACCAAACAGAGCACATCTTACCATAAAATAGGAAATAACATTTGTACAAGATCTAGCACAAAGTGACTGTGAATGTGGGAGACTATAATTGATAGACCGGGCATAACTCAAGAACGGTATATCGTATAATAATTGTCTATGGGTCAAGCTTATAATAAGAGGAACATGAATATGCATAGTTTAGCTACTTAATAGTTCTCAAAAGTTACCATTCATGATTCTCGTCGGGATATAACAGATTGTAACTTGTTGGAAAAGTTATTTACTAGTTTCCCAGCTAGTTGTAATTTTATTGTAATTTAATTGTAAGCATTTTTCTTGTTTAGTCAAATTTCAAAAAAGCTTAATCATTCCCATTTCATTCTTAATTATTTCATTTCATAAGTGTAAAATGTGGTATTGTAGTAATGACAGCTCTATATCACTTGTTTTACTACAGTGAACATTTATTTCAGTTAGATTGCTACTGATCATTGACAAATAGTACTGAACCAACGGTTGTTTATTCAGTAACAAGAATCGCAAAAAGAATTATTAAATGATTCTATTTTGATATTTTAATTGAGTAAAAAGAGAATAGGAACAAACGCATGGTAATACGATGATCATCAAACGAATGAATTTCATAAATAACCGTGGAAAATGTTTAGATTAAATAAAACAACAATAAGATGATGTATAGTGGATTAAACAGGGCAAAAAGATTTTAAAAAAACGAGCAAAAAGAGATAAAAATGAAAAGGGAAACCAAACAATGGAAGATGTCTGATAAATCGGTTTTTACGAGTGAATAAATTAATTAAGATGGCGATGGTTAAAGTTGTATGCTAAATCCTTTTCATTTCTTGAATTAATTTAATTGAATAACCATTGAAAATCAAGTACATCTAAGACCTCATTCTAGATAGAATACAGGATCAATAGACCTTGTGAAGAAGGCTTGATATTTTGATCGTTTAGTTGCCATCCAATAGTTTATATTATCTAGCTTTAAACTTTTCATGATATTTCGTGAATATCACTCTTTATCATTCGTGATATTTGTTACTTTTTCAACATTGATGAACCTCAATAGTCATAGAGTTTAGCCAGAAATACGAGAATTACCTCTCGAAATTAGTCATTGGTAAACAAAAGATTTAAATGTTGTAAAGATTTTGTAGTTTTGTAGTTTAGGCTATTCTAAATCAACCATTTGGACATAATCTTTATGTAATTATAGTGATATCCTAATAAATTGGAACTCATTGACTGTAAATTTTGCTAACAAGGGTTCATTCTATATTACTAGCGCCAATTAAATTATTCTACTCTTTGAAATATTTCATTCTCGATATTGTCAAGCAACAGACATTTTACAGTCGATCATCTCAAGTTATCTGTATATTTACTTGTTCATGTAATAATATGAACATAATGAAGATACTTACTGGGAACTAAAAGATTCCATTCAGAATTCAGTGATGAACCATAATAAACTGGTATACTTTTATTATTAAAATTATTGAAATCACAAACACCCAAAGGGAACTGTTCACTGGGAGAAGTTAATCTATTCATAAACAAACTCATATGCCATATACAACATGTACTTTCAACTTGAAATATTTTGCAAGATGTTGCAGAACAAAACGATGATACATCGCCAATTGAACTATACAATCGAAAAAAAGTAAAAGAGATTCAACTATGATTTTTCCCATTTAAATTATTGGTTGGTGTTTAACAAATAAAAAATAAACGTAAATCCCTATCAAAATTGGTTTTTGAACATACATTTGAATACATTCTAATGGTCTTGATGCAATAAAACTTATTAAACCACAATGATCAATGATTTACTAAATTTATTGGTTGTCTGTGTAAGAAATAACTCCGCCTTTAGCTCTTCTAGAGTTACTGCCGGTCTCAAGCCCAGGTAAAGGAGGAGGGTTAGGCATGGGCTTAGCGAACCCATCCCATAGAAAACCAACCCGCTAAAAAAACGCTAACCAGAAAAAATAATTCAGACCATTTATGACGACTCATATTGAAACCCGAGTTCCGCTTCTAACAACCAGAGCAACAATTTTTATAAGTACATAGAATGCATGGACAATGAGAGAGACCGGGAAGACCAGTCAAATAGCAATGGAAATGAGGAGATACAACTTGGCAGTACTGGGAATCAGCGAAATTCATTAGACCCAAGCTGAACAACAAAGGCTAAATACGGGAGAGATGCTGCTATACTCCGGTCACGAAGAAGAAAATGCTCCACACACTCAGGGAGTTGCTCTAATGCTGTCCAAAGTAGCACGAAATGCACTTGTAGGATGGGAATCTCACGGATCCAGAATCATCAAAGCATCATTCAAAACAAAGAAGGAGGGGATCTTAATGAATATTATCCAATGTTATGCACCCACCAATGATAGCAACGACGACATTAAAGATCAATTCTACGAGCGGCTGCAGTCAATCATAGAGAAATGTTCAAGAAAGGACCTCACCATTCTGATGGGAGATCTAAATGCCAAGGTCGGAATAGAAAACACTGGATATGAAGATATTATGGGACGACATGGACTGGGAGAGAGGAACGAAAATGGAGAAAGATTTGCAAATTTGTGTGCATTCAACAACATGGTCATAGGAGTCACAATATTTCTACACAATCGCATACACAAAGCTACATGGATCTCACCGGGCCACACTACAGAGAACCAAATAGATCATATTTGCATTAATAAAACGTTCCGAAGGACAATGGAAGATGTGAGAACCAGGAGAGGAGCTGACATAGCTTCAGATCATCACCTAGTTGTGGCCAATTTAAAACTGAAGCTAAAGAAGTACTGAACAAGTGGACAAACAGCACTACAAAGGTTCAATACAGCTTTTCTTCGAGATACTGATAAACTCAATGAATTCAAGATAGTTCTCAACAACAGGTTCCAAGCCTTACAGGATCTACTGAAGGAAGAAGAAACCACCACGGAGGACAACTGGGAAGGTATCCAAGAAGCATTAACATGAACGTGTCAAGATGTTCTAGGCCTCATTATAAGCATCATCATAAGGAATGGGTCTTTATAGAAACACTGGGCAGGATCAAAGAAAGGAAGAACAAGAGGACAGCAATTAACAACAGCCAAACACGAGCAGAGAAAGTCCAAGAACAAGCTGAGTACATAGAAGCAAACAAGCAAGTGAAGAAGAGTATTAGAGCTGACAAGCAGAAATACGTGGAAGAACTAGCAATGACAGCGGAAAAGCTGCAAGAGAAGGAAATATGAAACAGCTTCACGATACAACGAAGAAACTAGCAGGGAAATACAGTAAACCAGAGAGACAGGTCAAGGACAAAGAAGGCAGGCCAATCACTGAAATTCAGCAACTGTGGAACAAATGGGTAGAGTACTTCGAGGAACCCCTGAATAGGCCGGCTCCAATGAATCCACCGAACATCGAAGCAGCACACACAGATCTTCCTATAGATGTCAACCCACCAACGACGGAAGAAATTAGAATGGCCGTCAGACAAATCAAGAACGGGGAAGCAGCAGGACCCGACAATATACCAGCTGAAGCACTGAAGTCAGACACCGAAGCAACCACAAGCATGCTCTATCTTCTATTCAAAAAGATTTGGGAGGAGGAACAAGTGCCAATGGACTGGAAAGAAGGACACCTCATCAAGATTCCAAAGAAAGGAGATCTGAGCAAATGTGAAAACTACAGAGGAATTACACTACTGTCAATACCAGGGAAAGTCTTTAACAGAGTGTCACTGAACCGGATGAAAGACGCAGTAGACGCCCAACTTCGAGATCAACAAGCTGGATTCCGTAAGGATCGGTCGTGCACAGACCAAATTGCGACACTACGGATCATCTTCGAATAATCAGTTGAGTGGAACTCGTCACCGTACACCAACTTCATTGATTATGAAAAGGCATTCGACAGTGTAGATAGGAGGACATTATGGAAACTTCTTCGACACTACGGAGTTCCTGAGAAGATTGTCAATATTATCCGGAACTCATATGACGGACTACAGTGCAAAGTAGTGCATGGAGGACAGCTGACAGATGCATTACAAGTAAGGACCGGAGTCAGACAAGGCTGTTTACTCTCTCCCTTCCTCTTTCTTCTGGTGGTCGACTGGATTATGAAGACTTCGACATCTAAGGGAAAACATAGCTCAGAACCAATTAGACGATCTGGACTTCGCAGATGACCTAGCCCTCCTATCACGTACACACGAACAGATGCAGATGAAAACAGCCAGTGTAGCAGCAGTGTCTGCATCAGTAGGCCTCAGTATACACAAAGGGAAAACCAAGGTCCTCACATTCAAAGCGGAGAACAGCAATCCAATCACCCTTGATGGCGAAACTCTGGAATACGTGGAATCCTTCACATACCTTGGAAGCATCCTCGATGAACAAGGAGGTTCAGATACAGACGTAAAGGCGAGGATCGGCAAAGCAGCGATAGCATTCCTACAACTGAAGGACATATGGAACTCAAAACAACTTTCAAACAATATCAAAGTCACAATCTTCAATACCAACTTCAAGGCAGTTCTACTGTATGGAGCTGAAACTTGGAGACCTACTACAACCAACATGAGGAAGGTAAAAGTATTTATAAATGGTTGTCTACACAAGATACTCAACATCCATTGGCGGGATACCATCAGCAATGCTTTCCAGCTGCTTCCAGTCATTATTCATCCTTTTCATATCTTGCGTAGACAACCATTTATAAATACTTTTACCTTCCTTATGTTGGTTGTAGTAGGTCTCCAAGTTTCAGCTCCATACAGTAGAACTGCCTTGAAGTTGGTATTGAAGATTGTGACTTTGATATTGTTTGAAAGTTGTTTTGAGTTCCATATGTCCTTCAGTTGTAGGAATGCTATCGCTGCTTTGCCGATCCTCGCCTTTACGTCTGTATCTGAACCTCCTTGTTCATCGGTGATGCTTCTCAGGTATGTGAAGGATTCTACATCTTCCAGAGTTTCGTCGTCAAGTTCTAATCAAAACATATACCAAAAAGTAGCCATCATTTGCAATAAATTAATCAATAAATAATGTAAAAATTATATCCTTACCTTACTAATGGATTACGTGAAAATATATTGAACTGTATAGCTTGTCCGTAAAATGATGAAGAAGCAGTTACAAAAAATCTAATTCTAATTATTTCATCAATATGCCATTCATTTGGTGGCTCAGTTATCCATACTATACTAAAGTCTACAAAAAATAAAAGTACATAGAAATATATAGAATATATTCATATTGTTTAAAGATTAATTCAGAATATCTATTTACACAAATATAATTTACGTATTCAACTAAACTCAAAGGTGTCTTATAAAGATCAATGAAATATTCTTCATATCAGAAGGGTTTTTTGGATACTATAGTAAATTTAGTAGTAGAGATCACCAGTCAATTGAAGTTAGACCACCATGGAGAACCTGGAAGCACTGGACGGCCGTTTCATCCTATTGTGAGAATCCTCAGTAGTACACACCCACGATCCGGCCTCGCGGGATTCCAACTCATGACCTATCAGTCTCGCACGCGAGCGTTTAACCATTAGACCACTGAGATAGGCGGCATCCAACGGTGTTAATGTCTAACTTCAACTAATCCACAAAATTGAGCGACACATCCACCATTGTCTTCATACTTATAAAGTAAAAAAGAACACAAACATAATTAACAATCAAAACAGTAAAAGGAGATTGTGATCAATTTAGATGTGTTCATTTTTAATCTAAGTTTTATCGATTAAAGATATGTACAAGTGATATGACTTCAGAAGTACTATTCTATGAGTATATTTTATCCTGTATTTAGTTGCAAACTTACTGATATTGATGTCGCAGATAGGTTTCCTGTCTACTCATCACAACTCTAATGAATTTTAAAAGAATGAGTCTAGCGGTAGAATTCAAACCTTGTGATTCATCTCATCTGTGACTTGTGAGCTGGATGTACCTACATCTTGTAGTTTGCATTCAGTTCGAAGCTCGAACCCAGCACCATTTGCTTTGAACACCCCAACTATAACCAACACTGATCAAATATCAGTCAAAACCAATAAAATGAAATTGATAGCTTTTTTCAGTTTTATTTAGTGAGTGGATAATTATTTTTAATATGACCATAGTACCATTTAGTTTATAGAATAACGAAAAGACTTGTTAATTCATAATTTGAGTTAACAGACTGAATTAAAAATCTAACTGGAATAAACAGAATATTAAAATTTCAAAATTCCTAAGGTTTCAAGCCTAATAGATTCACATATCATCTAAACATTATTTTTAGATTCATTTCTTCAAATATCACTGTCATACTTAGTTAACTGACATTATTTTAAGCAGGTCTTAATAACTAGAAGGGAAAGAATAATTCTGAAGACAAACTGTCCAATAAAAATAACTTATTCAAAATAAAAAAAACACTTTGAAATTAATGGATTAAGCAATAGTCAATGTTTTCCTAAAGAAGCAGGAATCTTACACGAGTATGATCACAATGAATATTCATAATGAGTTTTAATATTCACTTTTATCAATCTCATATACTTCAATTCTATGAAATACAAGTTGTTGATGTTCCACACTAACTCATTAACCATAAAGTTTAACTGATGAATAATTTGACGAAATAGTAAACAAGTGAAAATATTCAATGAATCATTCATGGATTTTAATATTTTCTTTTATTTAATTAGCAATAAAATACTTAAAACTTTGTTGATAGAAATAAAAAAGGTTAAACATTGACACCGTTGGATGCCAGCTATCTCAGTGGTCTAGTGGTTAAGCGCTCATGCGTGAGACTGATAGGTTTTGGATTCGAATCTCGCGAGGCGGGATCGTGGATGCGCACTACTGAAGAGTTCAATACCAAGACAAAACGGCCGTCAAACTATGCTTCTAGATTTTCCATGGTGGTTTAGCTTTAATTGACTCGTGAATCCAAATATTAAAAAACAATAATAATCACATTATTATTTACTCTAAAAGTACTTATAATTATTCTATCGAAATAATTCAAATCTAATTTAATAATACAATGTGGATAGTAAAAATCATTTATCTATTTTATACAATCAGATCTATTAGTTAATTTTAAAAGAATAAAAATAAACAGGTTTGTAGAATTAAATGAATTCATTCAATTTCATGGCTTCTCAATAGTTACATACAACTTAAAATGATAATTACTTAAAGTCCTAGGTTATTGGGATCATGGATGCGCATCATTCAATAGTCCTATATCAGGACGAAACGATATTTCAGTGATTTCAAGTTTTCTAATTAAGACCACTTTGTGATTTTGATGCAATTAAACAATTTCCACAACTCTATGCTATCAACCAATTTACGTGAGACTATAATTTATGGACAACCTGTGAGCGACGCTAAAAAGACCTTGAGAATGTCTACCTACATACTATGGCTAAATGGGGGTTATAAACCAGCGTGAGGAATTGGGATTAATATTTACAGTTGGTAGTAAGGGTTAGAAATCAGATATAGCGTTTTCATCACGAACTGACATCAGCTATAATGCCAAAAGTTTATTTAACCAAATGGATGAGTGGATTTCGCTTCAAAATTCAGGACCTGTTATCTTAAATCTGATTGGTTCGTCCATAAATTATAGTCTCGCCCCAATATATCTTAGTTTGTGAAATAAACGTAACTTAAATCTTAATAATTAGAAGAATAGAAAACAAAATGTGTAAATAAACATAATTAGGATTGATGTTTATTTAAATGTTGGAAAGTGGTAATTCAAAAAGGGATAAGTGTTGTAGTTATTACTAATAATAATCCAGATAAAAAGTTTTATGTAAAGGCAATGTAATGAACATTTGATTGCATAATCATTCAGTATGACAAAGAACAAAACGAAATAATTTTATAAACCTCAATTAGATAATGTAAAGGATCAATATTAGACTCTTGTATCGAAGTTGAATGAAAACATTGGTTGCAACCTAAATACAAAGACATATCTAGTGTGGTTCAGCGAAATTGAGATGTAAGCGGTTAAGAGTTCTATTCTTGAATAATTAATCTATTCCAATCACTCAACTTATCTATGACTAATTTTAAAACTGTTCACAAAATTCGTCCAAATCTACCAAAATTTCTTCCTAGTTAACTCTTTACAACAGTAGAAGCTATTGTCATCTTTGAAATGAAACCTAAACTATGTGTATAAGAAAGTATGTCTTATTGTTTCCTTCACCGTACCTTTAAATTATTATTTTTATTATAATAATACCCTGGTACGGTCAAAATGCTCTCATGTAGCCACGCGTATACAACCCCTGACAGGAAAGTCATACTCACTGCCTTCCTGCGGCGGGGGTTTGTTTATCAAGTTTAGAGGACGAAGAGGGAATGTCTGGTGCTTTAACAAGGTTGGCGGTTGTAAAAGATCAACCTAGATGAGTTGGAAAAAACTGATTCCAAACCAATAGTGAACATGGCCTCCGAGTTCCTGAGGGAATAAATGGTGTATGAGCCTATCGTTGGTCACTGTATTCCATGGGGTTGCATCTCCTAACGTTGTTGTACTACCTTGTGGATTAGAACTCTAAGTCAAAGGCTCCGTGTGTGGCCACCTAAGACAACCAACCACTTTGTTCAGGCAGTACTCCAGCCCTTACAAATCGAATGATTTGCATAGCGCTTAGAAATATTCGGTGCCTCCTTGTACCAATGTCTGTGTGCTGAAATAAATATTTTCACATTTAAAAGTATCCCTCCCTCTCTAGTTATTGCGCATATCTCCAGGATTTTATTAATGAATGTCACTTCATCCCATTTAACCCGTCTAATACTCTTAATCATTGTGAGAAAAGCGTTTTAATTATCACACTTTATTCACATTGTAATCTATTATAAGTTTGTCAGTTTTACACGCCTTTTTATTTGCTCACGCACAATCACTTATTGCTATCGTTTTCACTATATTGTCTAATATTATAATCTTTCTATTGTATCATCATATTTATTCATTGTTCATATATCCTCAAACAATTAATACTTAAAATATTAGATGAAAAACGGAGGGTTCAAGAAGGTTTATTTGACTAACAATCTTTCACCGTGGCAGAGACAGGCTAATCATACTTTCCTTCTGTATATAAAAGTCAGGTCAGAAACGTTTGATAGCGATTGCCACTGAAAAAAAATGGAATGAAAATAGTTGACTGTTAATAACTTGAATTCACTACTTACATCTACTTTATGTCCACTGTCGAAAAGATGTTTGGCAACTGCACTTACAAAACTTTACTCGATTTCAGTCACTACTTCCTAAGAACTTGTTCAGAAAACATAATAGAAATCCATCCCTGTATCCTTACTATATTTATACTACTGCAGGTACATGTAACTTTGCAGATGCGATTGAAAGTAATGTCGAAAGTGTATTGACCTACCTCTGAATGATATTATGAACACAGTGCTGTATGGTTTGGACAGAAGAGAAGCTTCTTCTTAGTGGTGTCTTGATTCTTCTATCTATTTTACCTGAAATCCAATCCCCTTTGAAAAGAAGACGGATGAGGATAGGCTTATTGTACACAGCCGAGATTAGTTCGAATATAATCTTCATAAATAAGGTCTTCTCCATACTCAGTACCCATTTTTTTGTCAAACTATTCGTTGAAATATTGACAAATATTAGTATAAGCAGTCCGTTCTTCATCATGTTCAAAAGGTTCTTTTTCACATTTCTTGATAAATTTTCCCTGGTAATTATTTTTCATTGGGCTTTCTGCTTCTTCGTTTATCTCATCGTTTGAGCATAGCATCCTATGTCCATTGAGGACTGTTTTGACTAAATATCTCTGAAACTAGTGTGGGAACGGCCGTTATAGTTTGAATTCTCTCTCATAAGTGTTTCTTTTATACATTTACTTTTTGCAATAGTTCTATCGTTTCTACGCCTTACATTAAGATCTAAATAATTAATTAATCTTTTTCACATTTCATTTCAAAGATTATGTTTGGAGGAAAGTTGCTGAAGTTGTTAGACAAACGTGAAACACAGTCTATATCACCAGAAATAATGAACATATCAACGTATCTGGAGTAGTATGTTGTGCTTCAGTTTTGTCTATTCTGGGTTAGGCATCAAGTTATTAGCCAATATAGACCCTAGTCATGATACCATGGTCATTCTATCGGTTTGTTTGCATAATTAATTGCTAA